AAGCAAATCTCGGAAGAAGAGTTTCCGGACCTCAAGCACAATGCCAATCCGAAGGAGCCGATCGGCAGCAGCATGTGTCCATTGTCGCCAGAAAAAGGTGCGTATTCTGGGCCTCTAGGTGGACTCTGAACTCATCAGATTAAACAAGTAGTTGAAGTGTGATGCCCAGAGGCCCCAATGTGGGAATTGTCTAGCTAAGAGTATCGATTGTCGGCTAGGCGTGGTCCAGAATAAGCCAAGGTACAAACGAGATACCTATGATCAAATACCACGTTGCTGACGCTTTGCTTTTGGGCCAACCAACCACCGCATTGCGGAACTAGAGCAGGAGAATGAAGTTCTTCGACAGAAATGTGCCCAGTTCCGGGGCAGCACCACCACTTCTGCTGGAAGGATGCAATTAGAGCCGGAAAATTCCGTTGCATCAGCAAGCAGTCCACGTACTCCATTGCTATTATCGAGAGTAGCCGGTATTGGTCTCTCACGGAATGACTCTCCCTCCACTTCGACTAGAGATGCATCACACCCAGAAGTACCAGAGAACAACCGCAGGAACACGTCATTGTATCATGGCCCAACGAGTACAGTATATGATGATACAAGTCCGAACCACAATGAGCACAATAGACCTGGTCAATCCAACGAAGAGGGGACACGGCATTTTCTCTTTTCCCAGACAGCGCGACAGAGTAAGTTAGGTCGCATGCAACACCAGGCAATACTATGGTACTAATTAGGAAATAAAAGGACAGCTAGAGCCACTCAATCTTGCCGCTGGAAAACTCGACTTTGATGGTATGGATCCGGAGATTGGCATGCATCTACTCTCCATATACTGGAGTCGTCAGCTTTACACGGCACAGATAATCTATCGGCCGGCTTTCATGCGGGACATGGCCTGCGAGGGACCATACTTTTCTAAATTGCTTTTGAATGCGATATTTTTCGTGGTGTCGAAGCACTGCGACCGACCAGAGCTTCGTTCCGACCCAAATGACATTACGACTGCAGGATGGAAGTTCCGGCAGCGCTTCACCCAGCTTTTGCGAGATTGTTTCGACAAAAGCGAAATCACGACCCTTCAGGCGTTGCTCATTATGTCCAATGCACTTTTTTCTAGATGTGATGAACGGAGTCTTTCATGGCTATACGCTGGAAATGCATTCAATATGTTCATTGATCTTGGTCTTCATGTACTTCCTGATGTGGAAAGTATCCCTGCCGAGGAACTTGAAATTCGAAAACGAGTCCTCTGGGGAGCATACCGTGAGCTATTACTTCCCTGTACTGGGTATGGGATTACCTCTAACTTCTCTGGTAGTAATTGATAAGATCCAGTGTCTTTTCCAAGGAAGACCTCCGCTTCTCAACCGTGTCAACTTGAGAGCGTCACTAGACTTTCTGGATGACTATGATGAACTTGAACCTTTTCAGGACATAACTTACACGACTACAAAGCCTCGAGCAGTGGTTCCGTCACTGAATGTTTCTTTGCTCACCAATTTATGCGGGCTGACAACAATCGTGGAACGTGTTCTTCGTGAGATTTATTCGGAATCCCGAGAGTCGAATCTGGCCCATAGAGCAAATATCTCGGAGGAAATCAAGTCACAGCTGAGAACCTGGCGCCAAAACTTGCCGATTCAGCTTGATTATCTGTCATTCCCGGACCAGGCGGTTCTCCTGCCTCAATCCGCCTGTCTTTTGTATGTTCCCTCGCACCAACCAGTACTAATCGATAGCTACTAACTATTGCAAAGAGCCCTATTCAATGTGCTTATCATTTTAGTACACCGTCCTTTGATAATTGGCCACGACGGGGTCATCAATTCAACAACTGCCCATGAGTCAGTGAACGCATGTACATCAGCCGCGAACCAAATTGTTCAAATACTCCACGACTACTCGCAGCACTTTTCTCTGAGCAGTGCACCGTACATGCTCTCTTATGCTACCTATATCAGTGCAACGATTCACGCACGGATTGTTGCACAGAAAGGGAGCAACTCAACTGTGTTTCAATCACTGGTTCTTTGCCGAAATATTCTTTCCGAACACACACGGCTCTATTCTGCAGCAGAAAAAGCTAGAGAAAATTTAGATAAGTTGATTTCCCACTTAGGGATCAGTGCTGCGAACGACAATCAGCGCGCTGGAAGCCTTGGGAGCCCTGGGAACACCATTCCAAGTGAACACTTGGTCATGGATGAGTCTATCGATGTTGCCAGAGAACTCGGTATCGCAGACCGGGCACTTGAATTTGGATCTTCCTTGATGAATTTGGAATTATCGGATCTGGACCTTGAGGCAATTGCTCAAGGCTTTCAGGTTGATGTAGAGTCGCATTCGTTCTGGAATTCTGTGGCATGAATGGATATACCCTGACAACATCTATAGATGGCCCCTCATAATCTACGCGATCAAAAATAGGACAAACGAAATTTGCTCCAATGGCATATATGGTGGACTGGCAGTCCTTGGTTTTTGAGTGACAATCTCCATCTCACTTGCCAGAGCTAGTTAGAGCACCCAAAATCAGCTATTGGAAATTATATCGATGGTAAATATAGAACAGACCCCTCGTCATATCTAAGAGATATATTGATGTTCGGATTGTCACATCCCGAGGGGGCAAAATCTCGGCTCATCTCCGTGACCACGCGGGTACCACGCGGGGCATTCCAACAACCTGTACTATTCCAATGATTCGACGCCAAATGACCTCGGGAAGTGTCTCCCGAATGCACTCCGCATTTTTGAAAGCACAAATGGGGAGCTCGCCATATATAATCCATTGTTGCCCCCTCACATGGGATGTTTATCACACACTAGCTCAAGATATAGACCTGTAACACCATGGCGTGTTCCGACAAGAAGTCCTGTGAGGGCTGTTCATGCAGCAATGATGCCCAACCCCAACAAATCAACATCGAGGACTGTCTAAGTGAGTTGCAGGCCCTGCGACGACGCAACCAGGAGCTAGAAACGCGCATGAAAGTCACGAGCGAGGCAGATAATGCCCAAGTCCCCGTCAAACAACCAGGACGAACACTTCGTTCATCCGCTTGGTTTGACTGCCGCAGCAACCCCGGCATGACAGCTATCTACATGGAGCGGTATTTCAACTACGGTATCACCAAAGAAGAGCTCATGTCTGGTAAGCCGATGATTGGAATTGCTCAGACGGGCTCGGATATCGCGCCTTGCAATCGCCATCACATTGAGCTCTCTAAGCGTGTCCGTGAGGGCATCCGGACTGCTGGCGGTATTCCGTTTGAGTTCCCCACACATCCTATTCAGGAGACCTCGAGGCGACCTACTGCTACCCTTGATCGTAATCTGGCGTATCTTGGCTTGGTGGAGATCTTGACGGGGTATTTCCTTGATGGTGTTGTGTTGCTTACCGGGTGTGATAAGACAACCCCGGCTTGCTTGATGGCCGCGGCTACAATGGTGGGTCTCAGACCTGAAAGATTCCTAGATCCATGCTGATGTTCCTAGAATATCCCTGCTATCTGCATGAACGTGGGACCTATGCTCAACGGCTACTCCAAAGAAGCTTTGACCGGAGCAGGTACTGTACTGTGGCATGGGCGAGAGCTCTTCGCTACGGGTGAGATTGACGAAAACGAGTTTATGGATTATATTGCCCGAGGGTAAGCCATTTCTAAATCCCTGCTTAATGGCCACGGAATCTAATACAAAATCCAGCACTCCATCAGTCGGCCACTGCAATACAATGGGAACTGCCTCGACGATGAATGCACTTGCAGAATCCTTAGGAATGGCACTCCCCGGGTCAGCCGCCATTCCCGCTGCCTACCGCCACAGAGCCCAATGCGCCTATGAAACAGGCAAACAGATCGTGGAAATGGTAGAAGCAGACCGGAAACCATGTGACCTCATGACACGTGAGGCCTTTGAGAATGCTATCGTAGCGAATGCTGCAATTGGCGGCAGCACGAATGCTCCTATCCACATCAACGCTATCGCGCAGCACGCGGGCGTAGAGGTGTCTATGGATGATTGGGATACTTTCGGATCAACTATCCCGCTGCTGTTGAATATGCAACCCTCGGGGGAATATCTTGGTGAAGAATATTACCGCGCTGGAGGATTGCCGGCTATTATGGCCGAGTTATTAGACCAGGGTAAGCTGCACGGCGATGTGCTCACTTGCAACGGCAAAACTCTTGCCGAAAATGTCCGTGGGAAGCATACATGGGACCGGCGTGTCATCAAACCATACGACGATCCATTGATGAAAGATGCCGGATTCGCCCATTTGAAGGGAAATCTTTTCGACTCTGCAATCATGAAAACCTGTGTCATTTCACCCGCATTCCGGAAGCGATACCTCTCCAACCCCGATGACCCGGAGGCATTTGAAGGATCTGTTGTGGTGTTTGACGGACCCGAAGACTACGAACATCGCCTAGAAACCACGGCACACATCGACGAGAAGACCATCCTTGTTATGCGCGGTGTTGGTCCAATTGGGTATCCCGGAGCAGCAGAAGTCGTTAATATGCATCCACCAGGCCGACTCTTGAAAGAGGGTATTGATGGACTTTTCTGTATCGGAGATGGGCGACAATCTGGAACCTCTGGATCACCTTCTATTTTGAATGCTAGCCCCGAGGCCGCTGCAGGAGGCAATCTTGCTATTCTGAAAGATGGAGACAGACTTCGCATTGACTTGCGCAAGCGGCGGGTTGATATTCTTATTACCGATGATGAGATCGAAGACCGAAGGAAGGCATTGGGTACCGAGGGATACCCCATTGTCCCAAGTGGTACCCCGTGGCAGGAGATTTTCCGCCAGGAAACTGATCAGCTGAGCAATGGTATGGTGCTACGGAAGGCAGTCAAATATCAGCGACTAGCTCAAGAAGGCCAGCCACTGCGCCATAATCATTGAAGGAACATCGATATTAAGAGACGAATATACTGAATGAAATTCATTTGCATTTAACCAACAAAACATAAGAAATATACCACTACAGCCCAAATGGATAAGTTTCTCCCTTTCCAAGCGGTGTTTCGGGCTGGATGACTTCCAAGGGTTGAACAGCCTTGGTCTCATCAAACCAGACATAACCATCAAACTGCTTGTGAAGGAAAGCTTGCGAGTAGTGGGAGGCACGCTCTGTGTCAGGTCGGTAGATGACACCAATGAAACGCTGCAGGCGTTGCTCGGCAGCGATAGCTGAGCGCAGAGTGGGATCTATGCGATCCTGACGCAGGTCAAGCACAAAGCGTGGAACTCCAGTATCATGGGCCACAATCTCCCAACTATCGTCTCGGGATGGACGGACGGACATGACCTCCATATCATCGTCCCATTCATGGGCAGCGGCAACGGTGCCAGTGTGAGTGCCACATCCAAGAATGGTCACATTCTCGCGTCCCAGTCGCTCACGACATAGTTGCCCGATGTTGAGCTCCTTGCGGCGAAATCCCATGCTTGTATAGCGCGCATCCCCGACGTGGGAATTGTGTGCCCACACAATGGCTTTCTCTCCCTCGTTGTGCTTTAACAGACGCTCCAAGGTTTCAAACATGTGCATGTCGCGCAGGTTCCATGAACTCGCTGAGCTGTAGTACATTGCTTTGTAATACTTCTCCGCATCACGAACCAGGTGGGCATTCTGTTCGCCGCTGTGGTATTCATCGCCATCCCGCGAACCGGTGTATTCAAGCCGTCGTTCCAAAAGGTCTCCAAGCATCTTCATCACTGGACCTTCACAGTCTTCCATTCCTCGAAGGGATGCCAGACCATATGAAGTGGGATCATCGACCCAAGGCTCAAGACACCCATACCTCTGACGTGCTTGCTTGCTTGCCTGTGGGTCTACTCGGTCCAAGTAATCGATCACAGCACCGATAGAGGCACCCATGCTGTACAGGTCCAGCCCGTAGAAACCGGCTCTTTGCTCTGGTGGGAGGGCCTGGTTTCGATCACGCATCCATTCAACTAGCTGTTGCATTTCAGAGTTCCTCCACATCCAGGTAGGAAATCGATTGAATGGTTCATATCCTTTTGCACTTCCTCCAATTTGCGCCTTGGGACCTGGGCGCAAACGCACATATCGGTCGATGGCCTCTGCATCTGGCCAGTCTGCTTCGACTGCGACCATGGTGTAGCCGTGCCGTTCGATGAGTCGCTTTGTGATCTCTGCGCGTGCAGAATAGAACTCAGATGTTCCATGACTGCCATCGCCTAGAAGAATCACTTGGTTACCCGCAAAGGTATCGAAGTGTGATGCGAAGTTCTTGTCCTCGATTACAGGCAGGGGCTGCACTGCTGAATTGAAAAGCTCCTGTAGCTGAGGCATCTTTTTTGGAGGTCGGAATATAGATGCCAATCGCATGAACGGTTAAGCTGTGGTTGGGAATATCTTCACATGGAAAATCTCACGTAGATGAATATGTCGAGACTAAAACGTCGGACATTACCCACGACATTTCTATTCTTTTTTCATCGATACAACATATGCTCTTTGCTTCTCGGGATTTTTCCCAGCGAATTATTCCCATCCCGGTAGGTAAACAGTCATCATGACTTCATCGTTGAAGGCAAACCACAAAACCTCAATTCCGATGACAGTGGAATAAATGACATCTGGGGATGGAAATCGATAACAAATGCAGTTGTTCAACCCGCACATCGCTAAACAAGCAATCATTCATCCCAGCACCTACACATATGCCCGTCTTGTTTCAAAGGCTCAAACCTCGACAATGGCTCTCCCAACCTGCAGTCCGTCACCGCGCCTAGACCGCTTCGGACAGGCCATGGAATCTCTTTATGGGAACTTTAGCAGCATCGATGACCCCCCAAACTGGATTCCACCACCCAGATCAGGCGGTCATCGGGGGCGATATCTATGGACAGACGCCTTCGGGGTTGTCAATTTTCTCACGATGCACAGCGAGTATAGGCGAACTGGTAATGATACCATTGGCGACGATCGTTATCTGATACTGGCTGGTCGTCTAATTGAGACTGTCCATGACATTCTGGGTAGAACGCGAGACGGCCACTCAAGACTTCGAGGAGCAACAGACGCGAACCCACTAAGCGGTGGATTGAGGATCGGCAAGACAGATGCTCACGGTACAGACGGCGATGGGCAGTATCATCATTACCTAACGGTTTGGATGTTTGCCTTGAACCGAATGGCCAAAGCATCGGGGGATGTGAAGTACAACAGGCAAGCCGTAGAGCTCGCAAAAGCGATACACCCAAGGTTTTTTGTTGATCGCGCGGCAGCTCGACCGAGGATGATATGGAAAATGAGCATGGATCTGTCAGAGCCAATGGTCAAATCAGAGGGCAATCTTGATCCGATTGATGGCTTTGTTGTTTTTCGACTTCTGCAGGCTACAGCCATGGAAGCAGGTGATGGGGCAGTCTTGACCGAGGAGATCGATGACTACAGACGCACGATGGAGCGCAAAGGGGAGCACTTTGTTTCAAGTGACCCTCTCGATTTGGGTATGACTTTATGGACGGCACATTGGTTTTCCGGGCGAGAGAGATGGGCTGCTGACCTGGCGGGGAAATGCTTCGAGCAAATATGTTAGTCGCCTTTGTGTCTGAAGAACTATAGGACAAGACCCAAGCTGACCGGGCATGATTCCAGACAATCTGTTCGAGATCAATCAGTATTTGGAGCGCAATATCCGATTTCGGTTGGCCTTTCGCGAGTTCGGTACCTGCATGGGCATCCAATGTCAGTCAGAGATGAATGCGGAAAAAGAATCAGTTGATTTAAAATGCTACTCCGATGCTATCATTGCTGCTTGGGATCCATATATGCAGCTATCAATATCCGATGATCTGACACCAGTGGACTTGAGGCCTATCACGCGGGTGATGTATGCGTCTGCGTTGATTCCGGGGGGTAAGTCTAACCAGCCCATATGATGAGTTCGGTATTTTGACACGTTTTAGCATTTCAAGCTGGATTCTTGGGACGAGAACCAATAGCAACACCCTGGGAATGAACAAAATCCAAAGAGACGAACGGTCTGTTTCCGTAATCCATGTGTATTTTTTTTTTTTTTTTTGAATGGGCTGTTCTACAATGAAGAAGTAGGGCAACGATTCTCAGTGGGGCACGATGCAGGAATATCTTCATAAAAGCATAAGCAAAGTTTGACATTCTGAGTACGGAGTAGACATGTCGGGCTTCTCACTCTACGATGCATAATATAGGCCCAAAGGTAGAACCTTGGAATCAAGACAGTATAGAGCATAAAACGTACAGAGGAGTTTTTCCATGTATAACCATTTCAACATCAAGATGAAGATGGCTTGAGCATTCTCCATGCCGAAAAACAATGCAATCTATCATTATCATTCGGTATATTCACAACTGCTGAGAGTCAGATCTCGCAGGCAAGACAGATATCTATACTCCCGGAAGTCCAATCACATCCCTTAACGATGCTATCCGTCTTGGGAGTATATAGATGGCATACACAGCACTTAAAGCAATGAACAGACCAGACCACTGGAGAAATCGTTAGCTAATAGAAATTTTCGTCGTAGGATTTTGCCCAAGAATGCACGCACCTTTTCTAACCAAGTATGAAACCAGATCGCGGTCATGAAGAGCATCCACCAACCCAGGCCAACAACACCCCAAACAAGACGGAGTGACCACGTACTTGCGAACCCGCCAGTCTCGGTTGAATCAATCACTGGAGTACTATCGGCATCACTGGCCTTGCGCTCACGCCCCGCGTCCCCAGTGGAACTAAAACGCGACAAACATGCGGGTGCGCTAGCCCCGACAGCCTCAAAAGCCAGGAATCCCGTGGCCAGAACTAGCATCAACACATGTCCACTGATATCATGCCCGCCCCTCCATGCGCCGCCGGCGGTTTTGCATGTCGCTGCTGTGAACAGTGTTTCTAAGTCGGTGGGGCTGCTCTGCCCAGCGGCCATCTTCCCGGCTTCTTCGAGGGCCCGTTCACATTTGCCGCCCGTGGCCATGAAACCGCGATCAATAATTGCCGGGCCGAAGAACCATTGTGTTGCAAGATACCATACTGTTGTGATGAGTGCATAACGTAGAATGGCTTGGAGGGTGCGTCGGAAACGTGCTTCTTGCTGTGAGGAGGACTCCCGGCGAGATGAAGAGTATAAGGGTTGGAATAGGAGAAGCGAGACAAAGGCGGCTGTGGTCCATAGCCATCCGATCTTCACAAAGTAGACATTGAACATATTATTCTTTCGGGCGAAGTAGTTGACGGGGCCATCGGATAGGTGCAGGTCTGCGGCCAGGGATGGGGCCAGAGGGCTTGCGGGCTGTGGGGAAGAGCCAGACATATCTCTGGAATGACGCGCTGTTGGTGATATTGTTGAGAACAAAGACCCCAGTAATAATGTTGCAGGGTATATGAGGAGAACAGCTGATAGGAGGGCGGGAGGTCGCGCGGTGGATGTGGCCATGGTCGTAAGCATAGGGCGAGATTCGATCAGAGGGAAATGAAGTGGAATATTGTGAAATACACAATGAAGATTCACCGGAACATTCAAATATGACCACAGAACATAGTTTTTGCAATTGGGAAGGTCGAAGCAGGATAAGTTGACGATGACCTGGACAGATGACATCAGGGTTTGCCTGCCGAGGCTGCTGCATGAATGCCTCAGGCAATACAAACCCTCCAACATCAGAGATCTTCTCTGCAATCTGAATCACCGGATATGTATATAATCAAAAGCCATGAAAAGAATACCATACCTATAATTATGTATTTCGCTACTGCTTGGTGGTATTTTTTGGGGGACGTCCCATTGGCATTGTAGGAATCTTAACTCTATATATTGGAAACACTGTATACGTATATCTAATTTCACGATTGCTCGATGTCAGACATGTATATAGATCTATATAAGCTTTGAAATGCCGTTCACTTCTGTAGTGGACCTCCATTCAACTTTTGGGTATTTAACGAGCCCTGGATATCAAAGAATTCAAGTGAAACCGAACAAAAACCAAATGCGTCAACTTTCATCATTAATATGCCATGACTGGACCTTTAACCAAGTGCCTGCATGGCCAACTCGACACTAGGGAGAGGGGTTAGCTGCAATTCTAGAAACGCAAGGATTATGAACGAGCAAAGCAAAGGGCAAACATACGTCAGGAATGTTCCAGCAGAAACAGGCATAGCTCTCAGCAGAGTAGGGCCAATACCCTTCCAGAAACCACCGAGACCCTCAATGGCATAGGTCTTCTTGAAGCAGTCGCGCATGGTGCTGTACTTCTGTTGCGCGCCAAATCCATCGGTCTGCATCTTACTCTTGATAACATCGAACGGGTAGCTGGAGAGCCAGAGGACCTCACCAGCCAGACCACCGTATGTGGCAATCTTTGCCTTGGAGATATCCTCACGCTTAACATTGTTACGCTTGGCATCCTGGTTCATCATGAACTCAAAGGCCATGAACCAAGCACCGTACGCCTGGGCCTCACGGAGCAGAGTGACCGCCTGGCCGCGGTAAATACCGCGGAGGGCACCACCCTGTGCGGCCAACTTGTTCACGCAGTCGATGGGGCCGGAGTACAGACGACCGGCGCCGTGCGGCTGTGCCTGCAGGCGAATACGCACATGCTCAATTGGGCCTGACAGCACAGAGTTGGTGAGACCGGCAAATGAACCGGCCATGTAGTACTGGGTGTAAGAAAGGGCTGAGTTGGCGTATTTCTTCTTGTTCAGCTCCTCCAAGCGGCGACGCGCTTCATGGTAGGCGCCGAATTGGACAGACACCTGAATATATTAGAGGATTTGTCTATAATGGACCTTGGCCGCGGGGGCAACTCACGCAAGCACCGATACCGATAAGCGGGGTCAGTGTGCCCTTGTAGAAGGCCGCGGGACCTTCCTTCTTGAAGATCTGGGTTGCGCACTCTAGCGCACTCTTGTACTGAGTGGTAGTTTGCAGGCGCACCTTGACGATGTCTGCCGAATTGTCAATCAGTGCCTCGTGAGATGGGCTTTGAGCAGATCACATACCAAAGGGTTGACCTAATTTCTTGTTAGCATTTGTTTGGTTTTGCATGTCTGAATATTTCCCCAAGAAACTACCACTCATGACAAGATTCTCATCTCATGATATCCATGGCTTCTCCCCGGAAATCAAACAAAGTAGGGTGCACACATACCGAGGATAACTTGGGCCATTCCACCCGCTGCGCCCGCGGCCAAATCCTTGACGGTGCGGAGGGCACCGCCGCCCTTATCCATCATGTCAATAACCTCAGTCTCCATGTTTCAAAGAATTCAATTGCGACCAAAAGTATAGACAGGGACACAATCCGGAGACTCCAGACTTTATATCTAACCCGCTTATCGCTATTGCGCCATCTGCCATCTGATTCGATGAGAATGCCGAGGCACGTGACTTTTCCGGCGGGAGTTTTATATAAGCAAATTGCCCAGCCCTGCCCCAGGTGGTGCCCACGTGATATCTACCGCTGACCTAAGCAGTGACATAAGCTCCTCGTCCTCGAACTTCTACGAAGGGAAAAAAAGTGTTGACGGATCTAGATGTGGAGAGACTAGTGAATGATGCATCGTCGGCCAGTCTGCAGGGTAAGTCCGCAGCTGTTAAGTGTTGGGACATTATCTAACTAAAATATAGCTATCGTGTCGGGCTGAATGGTCGAATTCAGCCTACCGAACACAGTCTTTAACAGCTCTCACAGTTCGGCGGGCCTTACGGTCGTCCGCGGCGCATTGTAACTCGTCAGACCCATCAAGTGGAAATAATGATGGCACTGCTTCAAATCCAGCGCCCGCGAAGCCCAAGTTCGGCAATCGATGGGGTCCTAAACAAACTACGCCCTCGACGGGCTTGAGTTTCGCAGAACAAGCGATGCGCCAAACCCTTGTCGCCAATAGCAAACCGCCGCCGCCGCCAGCACCTGCACCATCGCAACGGAGCCGAGAACAGTCGAATCAGCAATGGAACTCAGAGCAATCAAACCAGCAGAGAAAACCGTTCGCGCGGCGCGTGGGCCCTCGGGATAATCAGGGATACATGATAGGATCAAGAGAAACCCCACGGAACCAGGAGAGGACGTCCTTCCAAGAGAAGAACCCGTTTGAAGAAAAGAATACAGGTGGTCACATGAGGTGGTCGAGAGAAACCTCACGGAACCAGGAGAGGAACTCGTCCTTCCAAGAGAAGAACCCGTTCGAAGAAAAGAATACAGGTGGTCACATGAGGTGGTCGAGAGAAACCTCACGGAATCAGGAAAGGAACCCGTCTATTCGAGAAACAAAAACGGCGTTTGAAGAAGATCACCCATTCGCCCCTGAAAAGACACCAGGCATATTCCAGAGCCAGTATCAGAGCAGGGCAACTAGGGACCGTCCACTGGCCCGCGATGGCTGGAAATGCCCTCAGTGCATGGCACAGGTTTTTGCCACAAAAAAAGTGTGTCCCTTCTGCAAAACCTCTCGACCTGGCGACGCCCAGCAAAAGTTCCGAATAACCAGAGAGTATAACGATTCTCCCGAGCCTTCGCAATCCAAGGAGTTCCGGGCCCCTTCTGAGTATACTAGAAAGTTCCAGCAATTAGGTGACTCGGTTTTATCTGAGCTGGAACAAGACGTCGAGCCGAATACAACAGAAACCACAGGGCGCGATCTAGAGGAATCCGATCAACCCCAATCAAAAGAGGGAGCAGAAAATTTCAAGAAGAACCAGTGGTCTTGGGATATGTCTGCGCTGGAGCAGCTAGAAAATCTAGAGACACAAGAACAGCAGCCGCCAAAGCCTATGAAGCGCCGCGATGGACGCAAGGGACGCCGCGAGTCTTCTGATGGAGCCGACTTTGACTCGGAGGGTCGGGAGCGCCTCCGCATAGAGCGGAGACGCCAACAGAAAGAAAAGGATGCCCAAAGGGCTGCGAAGAAGGCTGCCGCGCTGGCAGCACCGGCTCCTCTCTACCTGCCCGAATTCATCAGTGTTAGCAACTTGGCCGATGTCATCGGCGTACGGCCGGCGCAGTTTGTGCAACGAATGGAGGAGATGGGCTTCGAGGAAATCACGTACAGGGATGTTCTCGATGCAGAAACTGCCGGATTGGTGGCAGCAGAATTCAACTACGAGGCTATCTTCGACAGCGGCAAGGCAGATTTACACGCTGCCCCTGAACTAGAGGACACATCTGATCTGCCATCTCGGCCACCTGTGGTCACTATTATGGGCCACGTTGATCATGGCAAAACCACGATCTTGGATTGGCTGCGCAAGTCATCTGTGGCAGCGTCTGAACATGGTGGTATCACCCAGCATATTGGTGCATTCTCCGTAATGATGCCTTCCGGAAAAGCTATTACTTTCCTTGATACACCCGGCCATTCTGCATTTTTGGAAATGCGTCGCCGAGGTGCCGACGTGACCGATATTGTGGTGCTTGTGGTTGCCGCGGACGACAGTGTCAAGCCGCAAACTATCGAGGCTATCAAGCACGCCACCCAAGCCAAGGTTCCCGTTATTGTCGCCATCAGCAAAATTGACAAGGAGGGCAGCAACCTTGATAGAGTCAAGGGTGACCTTTCTGTTCATGGTATCCATGTGGAGGACTATGGAGGTGACGTTCAGGCCATCGGTGTCAGCGGCAAAACCGGACAAGGAATGGTTGAACTAGAAGAAGCCATCGTTGCGCTATCAGAAATGCTCGACCACCGCGCAGCTACCACCTGTAACGTCGAAGGGTGGGTTATCGAGGCCTCTACAAAGAGTTATGGCCGTGCAGCATCCGCTCTCATCCGACGTGGAACCCTGCGGCCAGGTGATATCATTGTTGCTGGTACCGCGTGGGCTCGTGTCCGCACCCTCCGCAATGAAGCTGGTGTGACTATCAGTGAAGCCACGCCTGGAATGCCCGTCGAGATTGATGGTTGGAGAGAGCAGCCAGGTGCTGGCACCGAGCTCCTACAGGCACCAAACGAGCAGAAAGCCAAGGACGTAGTGGATTACCGCATGGAGAGGTCTGATACCCAGAAGATGGGTGTCGATATGGTTGCCATCAATGAGGCTCGTCGTGACCTTCTCGACAAGCGCAGGCGCGAGAAAGAAGAGGAAGAAACAATAAAGGAAGATGAACCAACCGGCCCCAAGTCGGTCAATTTCATCCTGAAGGGCGATGTGGACGGCTCGGTGGAGGCAGTCTTGAACTCCGTTGCAGCAGTCGGCAACAACGAAGTCTTTGCCAATATCATCCGTTCGGGTGTTGGCCCTGTCAGTGAATTCGATATCGAACATGCTGGCAGTGCCAAGGGAAAGATCGTCTCATTCAACCAGGCCATTGATCCTAATATTATGCGTATTGCAGAGGCCGAGGGCGTCGAGATTTTGGACCACAACATCATTTACAAACTGATTGACGACATCAAGTCCATTCTCAGTGAAAAGCTACCTCCGACAATCACTATGCGTGTGACTGGAGAAGCCGAGATCCAGCAGGTGTTCGAGATCACTGTCAAGGGACGTGAAAAGACAGCCATTGCTGGAAGTCGTGTGCGTAACGGTCTGATCAACAAAACTCGCAAGGTCAGGGTGCTTCGTGGGGACGAGATAGTCTACGATGGTAAGCATATCACAAGCAGCTCAACAAATAATTTGAACCAAACTAATTTTCCACAACAGGCACAATGACCTCCCTCAAGAACGTCAAGAAAGACGTCATCGAAATGCGCAAGGACACAGAATGTGGTATCGCTTTCGAGAACTGGACAGATTTCGCACCTGGTGACCATGTCCAGTGTTATGAAGAGATCTCCGAGAAGCGCTATCTGTGAGATACTCGGTGATCTTAATATCTGTGCGGTCGTGATGACCGCTTGTATTATTTGTTTCATTTAGCACTCTCCATTCCCCCCCCATGATCTTCATTCAAACTATGTATTATATTTTCATTTGCTTTTATGGTTGACTTGCATCTAGGGTCTGGGCGTTGTTGCATCTCTATGTACTAGGGAACGGAAGAAAGGCATACAATCAATGTCATTAAGGAGGATGCTGCTGTCGCAGCATGTATAAATACTCAAATATTATGGCTGAATGGCCACATTATCATTTACTTCTTTTATATGAAACACGAATATTTGGCCGCTCGTGTGGCCCCTGCTTTTGACAATGTAGGATTTTAACTTGCTGGGAATATAGCCGCGGCTTTGTTGGACTCATGCGGAACTACCGAAGTCGAATTCTATATACCCAGCTAGTTTAAGGTGACGAGAGACGCGATATTTGAAGTATACCAAATGTATTCATTCATATTTCAATAATGAAGGATATAATATCCAATTGTGATCCAACGTGCCAGAACCCCTGGCCCTATTCCAAAGTAATACACATGAACATTGAAGGGAAAAGAACAACACGAAGAAGATGCTGAAAATGCTACAACTGCTGCAAAACACCACCAGCTTCTGCAAACTTTCGCTGATACTCCTTCAAGCTCGCCCACTGGCTCAATTCTTCTTGATCCCGCTCATAATCACTCAGATAGCTCATAGAGCGGCCGTTCATCTGCGGACTGACGTCGTCGGCAGGACTGGCTGCATCATTCATGGGAGAATGGCATTCTAGTCGGACAAGTGTTTCGATAAATGCATGCAAGTAGGACTCCGCCTCTGCGGCGGTGAGGATGTGGCCTGGCGGGGCGGTCGTTGGTGATGGTGATGGCGCGGCAACAGTTGTGAGGTTTGGGATTTCGGTTGTGGACTGATTTGGTCGGTGGGAGAGGCTGAGGAGGGTGGATGCTACTTGCCGGATTTTATTGGTCTGTTGGAGGGTCATCTTTGTTAGTTTGATACACGATAAGTGGTAAATAGTGGTCTATAACGTACAATGCTTGCGCCGTTCGGCTCCATGTTCACTTCATTCACTGTTCGTAATAGCACGAAGAGATCTTTGATGACCAGCTTGCGCTCTTCTGCCATCATGCGGCCAATGTAGTCTGTCTGTGCATGGGGTTGAGCTTGGGTGTTGGTTTCTGACGGCGCGGTGCCAGTGGGAGTCACACTCGCACTCGGTACAGGACTGGGTCCTCCTTCGATTTTGATATTCGGCGTGGTGCTGCCCGGAGTAGTGAATGTAGGTGACTTTCCGTACTTTGAAAACGTTTCGAAGAGGCTCCAGTACTTCTCGACTAGATAGGACCTGGTGGATAGCTGACTAGCGTAAATATTGGCTTTCTGGATCTCATACTGTATAGCACGTCGTTCTTGGTGAATGTGCTCATTCGAGTAACTGAAGATGGTATCATCTCCACCAAGACCTGACAAACCCGCCGGCGATATGTGTTTGGCATGGCGGAGAGACAACTCAGCAGGAACATTGCTTAGTGCAGATTTTGCTTGCTTGAGACAGTCCCAAATGCTTTTGCGTTGGTGTTCCCAGTCGAAAATTTGACCGCTACCAAATGCCATTTCCCAAGCTAGCAAGGCGGTATATGAGCTGTAGACGCGGACATTTGCGTTAAATCCGACTATCTGTGAAATTCGGTCGGATGGCTGGGGCTCAACATGTGTTGAGAACAAAAATTCATCGTCGATCTCCAGCGGGAGTGGTGGATAACGGTCCGTCGGTGTCTCTGGAGGAACATGAACCTTGATATCTGAAGAGCCCATCTGGTGTAATGTCTGATATCCGACTAAGGTGACATAGAACAGACGCCGTCCGAGCTCTTGAGTGATAATGTCGACGCCTTGGGTTTCCGTGAAATTATGTGGTAATTGATCATGCACCGTTGCTGATGATAGTGGGCTAACGGGTCCTAGTGTCGAGGATGGGCGGTTGGTGGTGGTCGGAGACCTGCACAAATCGTATACTTGGAGCATGGCTCGGCATTCCGACAGGTACACACGGCATCGGCGCATGTTGTAAATGTACCCAGAACATACAGCGAGGAAATAGCTGATCGCCGCGTCATAGACTGTGGCGTTGCGATCAAGATATCCAGTCCCGCGGGCTTGAATAGCAACGTCAAGGCACCGCTTTACTAGAGTTATAGAATTGGGGAAAGCGGTGCGTTCGGCTTCTGTATTGAGCCGGAGTTTAGGTCGTCGAGGAAAGGAAGCCACTAGCAGTCCAATCATCGATGCCAAGAGTGCCAAAAATGTGTGGTTGGTTACATCTTCCCGGCGCTCAAAGGCTGCCCGAAAAGTGGGCTCATGTGGAATCGGGACCAAAGGATGGATGTAAGTAAAAAAGTCGTCGAGCAGCATTTGCATCGTGTGCAAAGAACAAATCGACTCCACTGAAAGGGGGAACGATGCAGATTGAGGGTTGGTGAATGGCGTTGCCAGGCGAGTCGTCGCCAACGGATAGTCTGCTGGGCTCAGCGACGCTACATCTTCAGGCTCCCGTTTTTGTTTCTTAAATGCCTCTGCATGGCGGTTAGGAGGCCCGCGGCGTCTGCTTGGTCTTTCATAGGTGCAGGGAATATCCAAGCTAGCGCACGACCGACAAGGTGGCCCAGCGGTATCACACTTGCATAGAAATCAGTAATTTCCCGCAGATTATGACAAAAAAGACCCGCTCATACCTTCACTTTTCGAATACTGCAGGCATCGCAGGCCTTGCGCAGCCTTGTTTTCAGGTCCATGAGCAAATTGCCAGTATGACCCCACGAACCGTCAGGTCATGTTTAAATCAAAAACCAGTCAGATCATCCAGGCTGCAGGCTTCACTATGAACCAAAAGAATACCGAAATCCGAGTCCCGAAAGTCGGAAACAAGCCAATAACTTTAAAAGCTGAAGCTCTGGAAATCTCGGGGAAGAGATCCGAATCTCTCGAAGTCCGGGGGTCACACTCTCAGATTTGCTAAGCGGGTCAAAACTCATGGCTTGGAAATCTGGGGTACTTGAAACTTTGCCAAGGGCAACTAGTATCAGGTATATTTGATTGCTAGGGATTAAATCCATTCTATATATGTGTAATATTATAATATGAATATATTCACAAAAAAAAAAAAGTACATCTGGAGGCGCAGTCACGTGCCACTCATAATCCTTTTTCTACAAAATCAAGCAGAGGGAATTACGATTGAATTTAAACGAGAATCATTGGACTGTGGTCGACTTTAATGGCATAGACCAAGAGGTTCCTACCATTCGCCTGAATCAGGAACCAGAAATAGAAAATTAGATGCATTTTGCAGTAACCTCGGTCACCCGAAAGAGATGTATCATTCACAGATCATGGCATAATATCGTCATGGTATTGCTCACCCAGTCGACTGGACTGCTGGTTGATAGCACGTCGCTTGCGTTCGATATCCGTCACCCAAAGTGCCGAACCAGCAGCCGTGGTCATCAAAAATAACATAGAGAAAGGAGGAATCAGTTGGAGGATCAGAGCCACCGTTCCAAAGCTAGACTGCGTTAGATCCCATGTCAATAAAGCAAATTAACGCGACTTACGTAGTGTACTGCAGCTGACGCCGGCTAATACTTTCCTTTCTCTGCTGCTTGGACATGTCCAGTAGGTGGAAGTAACGCCAATGGTGAAAGGGACCGGCACGATACCCAGTCAAAACTAGGAACATAGGAGTGCCAGCCACCGGAATAAAGATAAGCGGAAGCAGAATAATAAACTCAGCGATCTGCCGAAACGAAAATGGAGAGTACACGGCACTGGTGGTCGGCGTACCCAGACGCTTGGCCGGGTTGCCGGGCTCGGGATAAATGACCCGCGAGGTGGTAACCAGCTCCTCCTGGCCCTCATTCACCAATACTGCATCAAATATATCCACTAAAGTCTCATCGACAAAGAATGCCTCGAAGAGTGCGGCAACGATCGCTGCTCCTTCACCAAGCACCAGGAATGCGCCGCTTACCCATGCCGAGCTGCCCTGGAAGATAGCGAGGAAGGCAACCTGGGGCAGGTAGGTGAAAAAGAAGAGGATGAAGTATATGAAGGATGAAAGGAGGACTATGGGGAGAAGGCGGGCCTTGAAGAGAGGCCATAGGAACCGATTTGACGCAAAATAGTAGATTCCCTATGTAGGTTAGTCGTGAAGCTTTGGAAATTCCCACAATAACATACCCAAAGAGGATACAGCCAAGCAGCTCGGCTAGGATCCAGGATTCGCGACATGGCTTGCAGGTTCACAGCTTCAAAGAATCCCTGCCAACGGCGATGGACGAGTTCGAATGCAGGCAGCACCTTATCGATAAGACTTCACGTGATCCAAGGATATCCGATGGGATGACTAAGCATGTACTATTTCATAGAGAAATTTTTCGCCGAGCGCCCTTTTTCTTTTCTTCTTCACATAAACTGAATTCCTCCCTATTCACTCTGAACCTTTGTTACAATCACTGTTCTGGAGGGGAAATGGGAGGAAAGACCAAATCTGCTGGCTTACCCCAAACTCTTCTACTCAAGCGTGGAGCGTTTGGAAATATATTCAGCTGTACATTCCTCTTTTTCAAGCCTCTTTTGGTGTCTGGAGCCTTTGTTCGAAGTTCAATGTTGGACGCCCTGGCTTAAAGCCGACGTCTATGAATTTCGTTCGCAATGTGCTCCAGACTGTGTACAATGACCGTTGGCCGTAGATCTGGAGCCATAGCATCCTTCCATCCCGTACCAACGCGGTCAACCCATATAGCTTGCATCCCTGTAGCGCGCGCCCCGACAATGTCGAAAGGGTTGCCGCTAACCAGCCAAAGTTTGCTCATCTGTGATGGGTCTTGGCCTGTTTGCTTCGCTAGGTGTTCGTAACTTGCCTTTGATGGCTTATATTGCTTGACTTCATCTACGGTGATGATATCTTGGAAGACGCTCGCGTGCGGCGCAAGGTCCTTGGATCGCAACACCGAGTTAGATACCATAGTTTTTGTCCCGTTGGAGAATATCACAGCTTGGATGGTTGGGTCTGCAACTATGTGGGTCAAAGCTGGATTCACATCGGAAAATGTAGAGAGACTGTCATAAGCTTGCATCAAGTGTTCGATGTTATCGTCGCCCAGCTGCTCGTTGTTGTCGGCCAGCGCGTGCAGTAGGGAGTTACGTGTGATGGCTGAGAAGTCTTCATAACGGCCTGTTGATTGTCAATAATTTGGAGCCCTAAGCTCGGACGGATTGCTTGCCCATGCTGTTCAATCTCCATGTGTACTCTAGTTGATACCGCCTCCAGAGCGCGGAGATCAACTGCGCCTTGGCGTTGTCATAGTGTTTCTCTAGTTGTTTGGCGATCGATTCAGTTGACAGTAAAGTGCCATACAGATCAAAAGCGACAACTGTCTTGGCTGTCATGATGTTTCATAATAATTTTAGAATGGATAAGCGGATAAGTCAAGGTCTACCAGGTTGAAGAATGCAAGTTGATTAATGATGTCAATCTTCCGTGGGGCAAAACAGACTCTGCCCAACAACCTCTCTAACCCAGGTGTAAGACCAAGGCCTTTTCTCCTACTCAAGTCCCAATGACTTCCTATGAGAACTATGCTGTGTTCCGCGAATGTCTGTCTAATGCCATCGTGGCCCGCTCTGAGGAAAAACCGAAGCCAACGCGACGAAAGCCAAAAGGCAAGCGCACCGAGCGCAAAGACGTAGCGACAGTGACAACGGTCTCCACAGGAAGGGCAGACCCAGAAGAGCTCGCTGAATTTGTTGATGTACATGCACCCCACCAGACCAACCCAGCGCAAAGCAACCAGCCCTCAGGCCCGACAAAACCTACACACTACAGTTAACAACTAACAAGACCCAAAGCTAACAACCCCCAGTTCCTAGCATCAGAAACCTTCACCACCTTCCCAACTCCCCTTCAAACCCTAAGCTATGCAGCCATCCAAAACGATCCAGCCCTATCAACCCTTTACATCCCCCCAGACGCCGACACACCCCTCCCACGTGCCACCCTCGAATCGTTATTCTCCCCAATCCCAGTCAGCGTAACCGACTCACTACTCGTATATGGCATAATCCCCGACGCAGCAGACTTGCTGGACTTCCTCACGCCTGTGCTGACAGAGTACACATCGAGCGTGACGACTGGCCCACCAGCGTGGGCTAGCACGCGCGCAGACGCGTGCGAGATCTGCGAACGCGACTGGATCCCGCTCTCGTATCACCATTTGATTCCGCGCGGGGTGCATGCGAAGGTTGTTAAGAAAGGGTGGCATGATGAGTGGATGTTGAATAGTGTGGCGTGGCTTTGTCGTGCTTGTCATAGTTTCGTGCATCGCATGGCTAGTAATGAGGAGCTGGCTAGAGAGTGGTTTACTGTTGAGAGGATTTGTGAGAGGGAGGATGTGCGGGACTGGGCTATGTGGGTTGGGAGGGTTAGGTGGAAGGCGAGGTAGAGGTAGCTGATGTCTGTGGTTATGGTATTCGATTGTAAGTGTTTCTCTGAGACTCGAGGGAATATATCATGGAAATGATAACACACAGCTATATGGGTTCGAATTGGCAATGATCTTTTGAGGTGTAGGATAAGCTAAGACACGTTCTTTTGCAGCTTGGCCTGAATACAGCTTCCTTATATTGACTTGTAGTTATAAGAAATAGTTTGACATAAATAGTGAGCGAAACAGAGAAAATAGTCTGTGAGATACGAAAGAAAAAAACCCCTCGCGAAAGAAGGCCTCGATAATTAAAATTAAATAAAATTGACAATTTCCTCCCAATCTCACAGTTAATCCCGAGTAACAGTGGCAGTAACAGTCTCAGTGACGCGATCTGTCACCGTCGTAGTCTTTGCCTCGGTCTCAGTCTCAGTGATTGTGACAAAGCCAAACGGCGTAATCGGATTCACAGTAAGTATTCCTTTGCCTGGTTTGGATATCGTGGTAGCGAGATCGGCATCCGCGATAGACGGGGGATCTGCTGCATGTGTAGTTTCCGCCGATCGTGTAGCAGTCGACCCATGAACGGGAAGGGTCTTCGTGGAAGTGACCTGTGCTGTCACTTTAGGGGTTGTCTCGCGTGGAACAGTCTCACTTAAGGACGGCGACAACGGAGGAGATGACGACGTTGTCGAATAAACAGTTACTAAAACAACACTTGTGGAAGTGACACGGACTGTCACTGTAGAAGCAATTTCACTGGACGGCAACAAAGGAGATGACGATGTTGTTGAGTAGACTGTCACTGGAACAACACTTGTAGAAGTGACATGGACTGTCGCTGTAGAAGCAAGCTCGCCTGAGGACGGCAACAACAAAGACAGGGAAGAAGATAACGAAGTAGTTGGGTAAACTGTAAGAGGAACAACACTCGTGGAAGTGACGTGAGCTGTCACCACAGGAGCAATCTCTCCTGAGGAGGACAACAACAACAAAGACGAAGAAGGAAGCGATGGTGCTGTCGACTTGACGGACAAAGGTACACCTGAAGTTGCATTGACACGGCCGGTTTCTATAGGCGCTGCATTCACACCCGGAGCGCTCCCAGTTGGGGCCAGCAAGACCGAAGAAGCAGGTGATGATGTTAGGTAAACAGTAACCTGAACGACCGACGTTGCAGTGGAATGGATGGTCACAAATTTCAAAGACGTAGTTGTTGGTTCAACAGACGGTTTTGCCGACGACACTGTTGAGTTGTTGACACTGGCTGCATGGTGAACAACGCTTGTCGAAAAGGGACTTGATGCTCCTTTAGTCACATAGACGATCACAGGCTCGGTTACGGTCACAACTGGCTTGGATCCTGACGTGGGAGGCTGTACTAGTGTAGATTTTGCCTGCGTAGAATGCGCTAGGTGGATGGGATTGGAGGCCGGGATCATGGGTGTGGGTGTGGAAGAATTCCTACTGCTTGCTCCTCCTGGAGGTGCAATAGCACCCAGAGCTGGGTTGCTAGTTGTGGGAACTGCGGGCACTGGTACTATCGATGGCTGTATGGTCGTAGGGGGCGAGATTGGCTGTGCGGTCGTGGCAGCTCTTATGCCGTTTGCTCCACCTAGAAGCCTAGTCGATGAAGATTGGATTGCGCTCGGTATCACCAAGGGATCGAGGGAGGGTGCTGTGTTTGACATATACATAGGGACTATATAGACAGGTAAGAAACTAGTTGAACGCAGCACTCCTGGGTTTGTGGATGTGGACCAGTTCACGAATACCCGACTCGCAGTGGACGAATGAGAGGTGGTGGTTGGCTTCTGAGTCGTCGTTGGCTTCTGAGTGGTGGTGGGCTTATGAGTCGTCGTTGGCTTCTGAGTCGCTGTTGGTTTCTGAGAGGTCGTTGGCTTTTGAGTCGTCGTTGGCTTCTGAGTCGTTGTTGGCTTCTGAGAGGTCGTTGGCTTCTGAGAGGTCGTTGGCTTCTGAGAGGTCGTTGGCTTTTGAGTCGTTGTTGACGCATGTGATGTAACTGGCTTCTGAGTGGTGGTTAGTTTAGCACATCAATGGCTTAGAAAAGGGCAAAATTACTATTGGCTCGTCGTACGTAAACGGTATCTGGGTAGGCGCCGAAATAGGTCCCGCAACAGGCGTGATTTCGGTGATACCGCCAGCTTCACGCCGTTCGATATCCGGCGATAGGGGAGAAGAAGTCGGCTCAGGTGCCTCCAATGGCTGAGATAGCAAGCGAGATATCGGACCAGCCGAAGCCATCCATGGCAAAAGAAGGAGCAAAAAGAACTGGAAGCGATACATCCTGATTTAGAAACGAGAGTGTTGGAAGTGATCGCCAGGACACAACTTCGAAAGCGAAAGTAGGACGGTAAGAAAATTGGGCGCTCAGACAGAGATATAATAGATCGCCCGAATAAGATGGAGACAATCACACGTATAGAAAAGCATGGCCAAAGAAAATATTGTGAAAATAATGTGCATACAAGTCCTGGGAGGCGTCTTGATGGCTTGCAAATGAAAGAATGGCTGGATCACTAGGGACCACAAAAGCAAAGGGAAACAAAAGAATGGGGCAAGATGAAGCAAAATGAGACTTTAACAGGAAAGAGATATTTCTTTCAAACACCTATCGAGGATCCTAGTTGGTATATTTGCATTTTGGGGTTTCATAGGCCGAGTTGGGCTTAGGGCTTCCTGTCAGCCACCCATTGTTCCTGACCTTGAAAGTTTTCCCCATAAAATCTACAGTAACCCAATACTATTAGTCCCAGGGGGAACCGCCATTGCCAGGGGCTCTTTGTGAGACGGAATCCATGCTAGAAATAGATCGCGCGACAAAGAGACGTTGCAGTAGGCGCCCAGGTCTATGACGCGTGGTGATTGGCCAGCTGCAGGCGCAGGACCACTTTATTATTTTATTGAAGATTACATGTTGACATATGGACTGAGTATATTTGTAGACAGAGAGTGTCTGGCCAATTCATTTGCTACGTGTATGGGCGCGTAAGTTGAGATATAATTACGGTGGCTTGGTTACTTCGGTGATCATATACTTTGGCAAGATTGTTCGTCACCTTTCATTCAACTTGTCACTCTGCTATATTGTAAATGAGTCAGACTATGAAGTCTTAACTGTGAAAGTCCCACCAATGCCCTCGAATGGCGAGATTTGGCCAAGAGGGTTCTTTGAGTCTCCATAATAACGCATCCGATAGGTCCCAGCCTGCAGGGGGGACGCTGTGTCGACACTATAATACTCATTTTCAATCTCCCATTGAATTGTCACCTCACTGTGGCCAAGAATTTCATTGGTCCGCTTCCATGTAAAGACCAAATTCCAGTCGCGGTCATTGCGCACGACCTCCCATACACCAGAATCGCTTTTTCTTTCAACTGCAGCGTAGGTCGATTCGAGATGTAGATTGTTGCGAGGATTAGCGCCCACAAAGGTCGTCTTGACAATATCTCCAGGTCCATAGGGTCCAGCCCCTGGGTTTGAGATCACGTTTCCGAAGCGCTTGCCAACGGGCGCTCCGTCATACACAACCCCCGCAACGAAGCTCAATGAACGGTTGGTGTTAATTGGTGGGGTAGGGCCGGGTTTGATGTCTGGAAGTTTGGCAACTTGCGATGAACTTCCCAAATATGGCAGGTAGGTGAGGGTCAGGTTGACATAGGCCGCCAGTGTATTTGGGCCGTAGAGTGTGGACGCGCCCTCGTAGCGCTGAACGCCGTACTCTTCCTCGGTTGTCACGTAGTGAGCGTAACTGTTTGATGGGGCTCCTAGTACCACTAGAGGGTCGGAAACAGAAAGGCGATCCTTTGCTCCTTTCGCAATAGCCTCCTTCCAGCGTCGCCCAGACATCGTGGTAGCTTCGCTGGTGGAAATAACGAGGAACAGCTGACCCACTCGCAAGACCTGGATGTCAACAATGTCCGCGGCCCATGCATAAGGTTCAGTCAGAGTGCCGATATCCAATAGCACGTTCTTGGGGCTTTGGCATTGCTGCTGCTGTTTGCTTGGCTGGTGGATAACTGCACGCGCAACTTGCCATAGAGGGTTGCGTCCAGCTGGACCGGTAGCATTCTGGGTAAAGTCAAAGGCACCGGGTCCGTCCGTAGTTCCAGCGGCAAACGAGTACCCCATAGCCGCAGAACAAGTCGTCAGCGTACTAGAGTTGAACGGCGAGCGGAAAGTGTAGCCGTTCATGTCTTGGTATACATGGAAAGCCTTCACTGCCGAACTTCCAGTGATTTTGATAGGGGTGGTGTCCATTTCTTCGTAAAGCTTCTTTGCCGCTGAGTACTGGCGGCGTCCAATCTCAAAGCAACTCTTCGCTCCGTTGTCCTTCTCACGGAAGAAGGGTCCTCGACCATGGCAATCCTCGTTTTTGCCACCGCAAGTGCTATCTTCGTATCGACACTTCTCTCCAGAGCCGTCTTCGCACCAGGCCCCCAGGATATTAGGGGAGGTGTCCCCGACATTAGCTTGAGAGAATCCAATAACGGCGTCGTCAGCGAACCTCGCATCGCCCTCAACGCTGCGCTCGAAGAGGTAAGCTGCGACACCTTTGTTATCGCCACTGACTAGACTGTTGTTGTTGTACAGAGATGTGCCATGAACAGGGAACCATGTTAGGACGGCCGTTGTTTTGTCATCAGATTCGCGATCAAACCGAATGAGCGAGAGCGATTTTTCAACATTGGCAGAATACCGCGCTCGTTCTTCCTTGGGGTTATGATCGTATGAAAAAGGACTGCGATTGATATTGGTGTCTTGCAAGTCGATGGATCCAAAAGAGAGTCGACCCGGCTCCAAGTTCTCATGGGCACGGATGATTGACAGAATCGTGCCGTCGACAATGGCTTGATAACTTTGCTTGTTGAAACCCAATGCCGGGATCTGAGGCAGCAAGTAGTTCATCCACGCTCCAGGCCCGGAGTGCGAATGTGTCCCCGTCATTGCGACGTTGTGTTCGCCGTACCTTGCATACTTCCCACCGAGCGCAGTGAGACCCTCCAGAACACCATGTCGCACGGCCGTGTCACCCGTAAGTGTATCGAGAACCAGGTACACAAAAGTATCATCAGGCTTGTTTGGGTCTGCGAAGATGAAGGCGCGAGAATACAGTCTCTGTTTTAGACCAGTGCCTAGTTGGTCCAAACTAGCATATCCAGCGAGAGCAAGCTCCACAACGGGCCTAGTAATCATATTAACCAATTTAGTACATAGATATGTCAAAAATGAAGCATAAACATACCCAGTTACATCTGCCTTGCCCGCTCCGACCAAAAAGATATCATCAGCTGCCGCCGCATTTGCTCGGCTTTTCCACTGGTTGAAGTTGGAACTAAAGCTAGGCAAAGGCGCCTGCGACTGGACATCGAGCTTGAATACCGCAATCAGCTGCAAAAACACCAGCGTCCCAAGAGCCACCCCAGCAAGGGTAACACCCAAGCGAAAGTTAGCCATTATTGAGAGGGTTTGCTAATATATATAGAGTTATGATATCAGCAGCAAAGGCGCGCTGAGTGACTGTAGCCCTGGAAAAGTCGAAATCCCCTCGGGAGATACGGGTTCTTATACAAGTGCACTAGTAAGGGATATAGTGGGAAGAGGAACGAGCTACCTGCGAGTACATGAGATCATTGCTCAAGTACCTCAAGGTCGGGAACGAAGCTGAGCATTAGTGTATATGGAGTACTTAGTAAGTGACATTCGCCTAAGCGATGTACAAGTTGGGATCGTCATCTATTGAATCCCGCACACCCAAAAGGGAATAGACTTTCGCTGCACTCCCCCCGCACGGGAGAGATGTGCTGGAGTGGCTGCACAGCTGAAGACTGAATTGCCTTGGTTTTGAGCCAGTCAGCGAGCTGGGAACTTGTGTTAGATATCAGGCACCTCGGGTAAGACCAGTTCGAACTGGATAGGATCATCGTTGAAGTCGGGAGCATCTTAGAGAGCAGTGCCATTCGTCCAAATATTTCCCCGGACTCCCAGACCCTGGTTTTTGCTGCAGCCACATATATAATGTATCCCATGACTCGAATGCAGATGTGAGCACAATCACATTAGATTGATTGATTACATTACAAATTAGGTATACTGTTCGCCTTGTTTTGTTTCTGCCTCGGTGCATATAAAAGTCAAGGTCACGTGGCTGATATTAGCTGAGTCAGCTGCGCTCATCTCGCCGCCTTTGTCACCGCCTTCATATAGCAATGGTTCGCAGATTAATCTACTGGTCTTGGTCTTGACATCCATACAAGAACATCACTCCAAAATGCCGTTAATCAACGAATCGCATGACTCGCTGCCATGTATGTACCAAGGGTGGATAGGATACATGCATTTAGAGCCCAAATTACTAACATTCTAAGATATTGACGCGGCGCCCACTGCGTCCGCGCGAGCGCAAGCGCAGCAGCTCATCAACGCAGAGCTATCCCCGGAGCACGTCTCTACAATGCACCCCTGGATCCCGGAAGCACCAGAACCTAAATTTTCTCAATTCATGCAACAAGAGCTCTCGCGCAAAGCGCAAGGAGCACCTCTCACAGGCGGTATCGATCTATCCCGTTACGAAGCACCAGAGGCCCCGACTCGCACATCAGACACCGAGACGCCCGATTTAGCCAAATCAAGCCAGATTTTGCAGCAAGCATATGTGTCATGCTCATACTTGTCCGAGCGCAACAAGAGCCTGGGTCTGCTGGAAGAGTATGGCAAAAACGCTTGGCTGGTTGGCAATTCGCAGCTTGAGGAAGTTCTCGGTTCTCTTGAGAAGGAGTTGGCAGAGACGAAGGAGGCTTCTGAGGAGGTGAACAAGCAGAGAAAAATTGCACAGGAGGTGAGCCAGGGTGAGCTAGTCAGTCTGGAAGAGACGTGGAAGCGTGGTCCTGAGGCGATTCTTAACGTTGAGCTGGCATCTGAGGGTTTGCGCAGGCAGAATCTTGACTATAGACGCCAAGTGGCTCAGCAGCAAGCTCGCTAAGGGAGAACTTTCGTCTTGTTTGTGTACTATCTTTCTGAGAAATGAAAGCTTGTCATTCTAGCGACCTTCTGCTGGCTGAGGGATTCATGTTCTTGGTCACACAGTCTGCTTGGTGGAACACTTGCATGGTGGAGTGCCATGTGTGCGACTTGAGGGTGCGCTTGTTCCTTCGTCCGTGAACATTTTGGGCAACGGCCTATGTGTGTCGCTCTTGCTTTTACGCCGAGGACTTATTCTCGCCCACACGGCTTTTTCGAACAGCGGGCTCTCGTTGTGCCATTTCCCACAACTGCTGGCCTCGGGTTACGACTTCCTATGGGGTATATCCTCGTACCAAATTCCAACAAAAAAAGCCTTTGCACCCAAATGAAGATTGGGGAGGAATGAGACCCTTATATGGCCGGGTACTGCTGGTCGGCTCCGGCTATTCCAAGTTGCAGAAGATCCATTGAATGATATCTCCTATCAGAGCCCTTTAATCAAGATACGGTTCCATTTCACGCCATAACGTGTTCAATTTAGAAACTCCTAAAAACAAGTAAAGATTGAATTGCCCGCTAAATTTTGCTTATGAAAGAAAATGGCTACTCTACTCAAATCAAGTAGACTCAAACTCAAATCACAATACTCTCGGCGCAACCACACCAACCCCATCCGAAAACTTCACGGGACTCAAAGCCATCCTCTTCCCCACGACCTCAACCCCATTCCCCTCGGCATTCGTATTCCAATCCACAAGTCGCCGACACAGACCATCAAGAGTGTTCAGAGGCGGGTTATATCCTAACCCACCCATCTCAGGCGCCAGCTTCGCGCGCGAATCATCAGCAAACACATGAACATTGACAATGGAAAACACCGACGGCTGAAGCTGCGCAATATCTCCCGACAACTTCGGCAACCAAGAGAGATATTTGTACTGCAAGAAAGCATACATCTCAACAAAATACGCCATCACCAACAACGGCGCGGGCGGGACCTCCGAAAATGAAACTCGCGTTTTGGACAACGTCGTGAGCAACGTGTACAGATCACCAAACGAGATTGCCGGGTTGGGATCGCTAACAATGAACGCCTGGCCACCTGTGTTCGGGAGCTCCGAGCCAGGCTCGCTCTGCTGGATCAAACGCTGTTCGTACAAGAGGTGTGCGAGTGAGACGTTTTCGGCGTGCACGAAACTCTGCAGGACTGGGCGAGCCCAGGTCGGACTGCCTCCTTTGCGAAGGTAAAGACCCGTGATGACATTGTTCTCTTGGCCGCCTGTGCCATAGACGCCGTTTGTAGGGCGGATGCAGCCGGTGCGGAAATTTGTTACTGGGTCATCTGCTGCGCGGACGAGGCGCTCTGCGTCGGTTTTGGTTACGGCGTAGTTGCTGAAGAATTGGTCGTGGGATTCGGGTAGTTTGGTGCTGTCGCTGACTACTTGGACTACGCGCTTGGGCTGCGTCTCCCACGGCGCGATCCAGAAAGTTGGCTGGTGCAGGGCAATGGAGCCTGAGGATGTCCAGATGAAGGCTGTGGCGCCGGCAGCTTTTGCGGCGTTCAGGACGTTCCGTGTGCCGTCGATGTTGACTTTGCTGCTGAGTGGTAGGAAGCATTTGAGTCGGTCTTGGGGTCGGATTATGGCTGCAGTGTGGTAGACTGTCAAGGGAAGGTTGGAGATATTGGCATCCCATGGCTCTTCGAAGGCTGTTGTTACAGCGAGCTCGTCGGTGATGTTGGTTTTAGTCCAGCTCACGCCTTTGTTGAGGAGGTCCTGCTCTGGGGAGTTTAGATCTAGAATTCGAATGGCCTTGGGGTCTTCACCCCGTGCGAGGAGATGCGAGACTATCCAAGCGCCGACTAGACCTATAGTTTGGGGAGTCAGTAGAAGTATATGAAAAGCGACCTGTATCTATACGTACCAGTTCCGCCTACGATCACATATCGTCGGGATTGTTTTGGAGGCAGGCTCTTGGTCACATCGATGGGGTTTTCCAGGCTCTTTCTATAGGCTGCTTTGATTTGTTCGATTGTCCACCGATGAGGTGATAGTTTCTGTGCCTCTTCGGGGACTACTTTCATAGCAGAGTTAACATGCCACATGTAGAGAGCGAACAGTCCAGCCAGGCCGGCTGCTAAAAGCAACGCCATGGTAATTGGACAGTTACAGAATACTTTTTCCAAGGTTGCAATCCCAGGGTCTAAAAGGTTACAAGGGAGAGTACACAAAGTTTGCTTGTTTGAAGGTCTAGATTTAAAGCAACATGTTTCAGTCGACATGAAACATATCAGATCATATCTCGGTTGGTCGCTTACGGTCGCTTAGACCTTCGCTCGGCTAAGCGAGCCTGAGCTCCCCCTTGCAGCCAGAGCGCTTCAGCAAACAGTGAAATTGTCAAACAAATTCTGTTTGTCAAGACATATTTTGTTTAAAAAAAATATATATATATATAGATTTGAAGTAGGGTTGGCTATATATGCCTTATTATGCATGGATCTGGTATTAACCTATGGCATCGGAGATTTCGGTTTTATAGATCACCTATATTGTACATATGACCGGAATCGGAACATTTCGTTACATAAGTAGAAGTTCCAGCCCTGGAGAGCCCTTTGAGAAAACTTCATCTCCTTTAATGAGAAATACAATACACTCTCGGGCCTAAAGTATTCGGCAAACCGGCACACTGCCCAGGCTGGAACCCACATGTTTTTCGGGCCTCAGCCATGTGGGGAGAGTTGGGTACAGATAACTTCTGTTTTATGGAGACACTTCTTTGCCCATGGGGAAATCATGCCAAGGGTTCGTAGAGGGGAATCTGATTGACTATAATAGCTTCGCTCAAGGGGAATGCTTTATGTTCCATCTTCTGGCTCCAGCCCTACGAGCTCTGCAAGCCCTTTCAAGCCCTGTAAGCCCAGCTCGTTCTCGTCAAGTATGCTTATCACAGGCTCTCGGCCCCACCCTGGAAAACTCCGAGTTTCAAGTGATTTCGACACCTTCGACGTGTAATTTATATCAGTTGGAAGGAGCCTGTTGATACTTAAACCTCCCGGTCTCGGGATTTAGGCATACGTGATAACTTATCTCTATAGAGGAATCGAGAACGACATACTTGACTACATTACTACAACCTAATCTCGGAACTAAGATCAGCAAGCAGACCTTTTACTCCTATTTCCCCTATTTTATTCACCACAGCCCCTCACACTGGAGTAGCTTGCTCGTTTGATCTCCGGTATACACCCAAGTTAGCTCCCCGAATCTTGGTTCACTGTTTCAAAGACCCTCCAAACTTCTGGGGATGGCAGCCCAATGTCCCAATTCGGAGGGCCAAGATAAATGGCCCGAAAATACAGAGAGGGTGTCCCAGGATACAGACTCTATCGAGTCTATTTCCACGGTAGACACACATACCGACCGCGATGCACTAGGAAAGACATTGACAGCTCGCGCCTCGCGAACCTCGCACATGTCACTGTCGGAACGAGTGACGACAATCGCAACTAATGCCACCGCCGATCCCGACTATGAGGTCGATTGGGATGGTGACGATGACCCTGATAACCCCAAAAACTGGACCCTCAAGTATAAGGCCATGTGCATCGTGTTTCTGTCATGGAACACTCTCATCGTGTAAGTTTATATCTCTAGTTTATAACACACGATATTCTCTGGCTAACACATTCGGAAGCGTGTTGTATTCAACTTCTTATACATCAGGACTTACATTGATCGCCGAGGAATTCGGCCAGTCCCAGACTATCGTCACCCTCGGCTTGACCTTCTATCTGTTTGGTCTTGCCATCGGGTCCATGTTCATGGCCCCGTTGAGCGAGGTATACGGGCGGAAACCTGTCTGTGTAATTTGTCTAGCCGTGTTCACAGTCTTGATCATCCCCTGCGCGCTCGCAAAGTCCGTCACGGCCCTGATCGTCATTCGCTTTATTGCTGCTTTCTTTGGCAGTGTCATGATCTCTACCGCGCCCGGTATGGTGGCTGACTTGGTGAACGATGAGCACCGTGCTTTGGCGATTTCTGTTTGGAGTCTTGGACCACTCAATGGACCAGGTTTGTCCTTCGCTTCTATCGCTTCTATTTTTTTTCTGATAGTTCATTTCTAACAGGATATAGTCATCGGTCCTGTTATCGGAGGTTTTGTCACTCAATATCTTGGCTGGCGCTGGATGTGCTGGATCGCCCTCATACTCTCCGCTGTTGCTTTGGTCTTTGCTATAATTCTTAAAGAAACATACGCACCAACCCTTCTCCAAAAGAAAGCAGCCAAACTCCGCAAGGAGAGTGGCGAGTCCCGCTGGTGGAGTCGCTACGATCAAAAGGCGAGCCTTCCTGAGGTCCTCAAACTGAACCTCAGCCGGCCATTTGTAATGGCAGTCACGGAGCCAATCTGGTAGGCTCCTTACACTTATACATTCCACGCCCGCAAAACATGAAACTAACACTCTCTCCAGCATCTTCTGGAACATCTACATCGCAATCATCTACGGAATCCTGTACCTATGCTTCGTAGCCTACCCAATCGTCTTCCGAGACATCCGCGGATGGCAACTGGGCGTGTCCGGACTCGCCTTCTTAGGCATCGGGATCGGCGTCATTATCACAATCGCCTGCGAACCTTTAGTCCGCCGGTTGATCAACAGTCACGCCAAAGACCCCGAGACCGGTAAACCATACCCAGAAGCAATGGTCTCGTTTGTCTGTATCTGCGCAGCGATGATCCCCGTCGGTGAGCTCTGGTTCGCATGGACATGCTCCCCAGCCTCAATCCACTGGATCGTGCCCCTGCTCGCGGGTATCCCGTTCGGTGCGGGAAATACCGGTGTCTTCATCTATGCATCCAACTACCTGACCCACAGCTACGGCATGTATGCTGCTTCTGCTTTGGCGGGCAACTCGGTGATTCGGAGTATTCTCGGTGGTGTTCTCCCACTTGCTGGCTCTTCTATGTATGCCAGTCTGGGGCCGAATTGGGCAGGCACTCTGCTGGGGGTGTTGGAGGTTGTTATTGTGCCGATTCCCTTTGTGTTTTACAAGTATGGGCATAAGATTCGCATGAGAAGTCCCCTCATTCTGCGCATGCAGGAGGAGAAGATGAAGTTGGAGGGGAAGCGGGCTAGGAGGCAGCTTCAGCTCCAGCAGGCGAATCAGTCAGATGAGAAGACGGCGGAAGAGGTGGTTTAGGGTTGCTTTTTACGAATCTTTTGTCTGATGTTTCGATTCACGTCTTGATACCCGTCGCCTTGTATCTGAGGTACTCGAAAAGTAATTAAATAGCAAAATATCTAATGCAGAGACATTTCATTAATGCGTGGGTTGATTTAAGTTCCATGTAGTCATTTGAGCCATTACAGATGTTCTCTCAGTTGGCAAACTGTATCATCTGCTCGACACGCCGAGAATTGCAAAGGATTCGCTCATACTCCCCGATAGCAATAGCTCCCGCCGGGAAGACCATAATTGCCTCGACATACACCGGACGAGGGGGGACCGTAGAATGTCTCTGACTCGACCGACTCGCGTCGTCGGGAGTCGAATAGAATGAAGATGGTCGTGGCACCGTCTCCGATTCTCTGACATAGCCCACGACATTCAACCATGTTCCCACGCGCAGTTCTTCCGCGGTCAGGTCCTCAAGGAGGGCATTGATATCGACAGATACAGAGCTTGGAGCTATCTTGCTGCGTGGATAGTTGTGTTCCAGTATCAAATGGCCAGTGGTGATGGTATAATGTGTCACACTGTGCGTACACAAGAACGTAGATCATAGTTAGTATTGAAAGTCTTCGAATTTACACTATTTTGTTCTCTGCTCTGGGCCTGACGCACCAGCCAAGAAAGCGGATCTTCGAGTCCGCCTGTAGAGATGAGAGATCGGAGAGGAACACGCGAGTCGAGGGACGCGGCCCATTCATCTCTGCGCTAGTTGAAGAAGATGCCCAGCATTGTAAAAATGTGAAGATTGAAAGAAAAGAATAAAAGAGGCAGATTCAAATCTCACAAACATAAAGGTCTTGTCGGCGCACGTGACTAGCCTTACCGTGTATGTCATAGGCTCAGCGAGGGGAAAGTCGGGCTCTCTCCCTCCACTTTGCATTCATCCAGACATTATCCTTGGAAGCACTCTCGGCGAGTCGTGTGTTCTAAACATACTGGTCATTCGGAGCTTATTTTTCACACGCACTTCCCTTACTTCGCCTGTCAGCTCACTGACTTTAGCTGGAGCCTATCGCTCCACCTGACTTGCAGCAAAGAAAACAACCAATTTACTCACCACTCCTCACTCACTCCGGATTTTCAGCCGCTGCCTGGTCTCCTTTGGACATATTACCTGACCACCGGGGCTTATCCTGCTTATTTACGCTGTTCGGTTTCCAGTTACACAGACACCGATATCACGATGTGGTCTTGGTTTGGCGGGGCCGCCGCTGCTCAGAAACGGAAGGATGCGCCCAAGGACGCTATCCTACAGCTGCGCGCGCAGCTGACTCTGCTGCAAAAGCGCGAGAAGCATCTCGAGACCCAGATCTCAGAACAGGATACTATGGCGCGGAAGAACGTTAACACAGATAAGAATGGTATGGTTGCGGATCTTGCAGATTGTTGCAGAACATCTATTCAAGAGTTTCAGGTGGTGGCTAACTATCTGTCCCTCCTATTGTGTTGAATAGCCGCCAAAAATGCCCTCCGACGGAAAAAGGTCCACGAGAAGAATCTCGAGCAGACAACAGCTCAGATTATGCAACTCGAGCAGCAGGTATACTCCATCGAAGCCGCCAATATCAACCACGAGACCTTGTCTGCTATGAAGCAGGCCGGCGATGCTATGAAGAAGATCCACAATGGAATGAAGCTCGAGGATGTCGACAAGACGATGTACGTTACTGCGGGGCTCACCGAGTCCATCCCTATACTATTGCCTCTATCGTGGCTCTTGTTATATTACGCGATGGCCATATACTGATAATTCGCAGGGAGGAACTCCAAGATCAACATGCGCTCAGCACCGAGATCGGAAACGTCATTACCAGTTTCCCTATTGGCGAACAGCCCGACGAGGGAGAGCTCGATGAAGAATTGGAAAATTTGGAGCAGGAGGCCATGGATGCGAAGATGCTCCACACCGGCACTGTACCGGTGGGCAGTCAACTGGACCGGTTACCAGCTGTGGGGAATACGGCTCGTAAGAACAGAGTCCTATACACAGATATCACCTATATCGTTTACTAACTTGTCTATAGTCAAACACCCTGCCAAGGCAGAGGAAGACGACGACGAAGCAGAGCTGGAAAAGTTGCGCGCGGAAATGGCCATGTGACGGCCTCCTACTTCCAGCCACGCGACCAATGCAGCCTCATTTCTGTTGAGATCTTTCCCTTTTTCTCTTCCTTGTTCTTTGTTTTACCCTTGCATGCATGACCCGGCCGTTTTATCAAGCCATTTCCTCCCTTTGGCTCTCGCTGACGCCCCGCTTACTCTTCTTCATTACCTCCATCTCTCTTCCACGGTTCTTTCTACCATTCCCTCCATATGACCCGACCTTGCCCAGGTATTTCCGAGGTCTTACACTGATCTGTCTTTGTCTTCTGTGACTTTTTTTTGACGTTTCTACTCTCGACACCCTTTCTCAGGCCGACTCCATCGATCTCTTGGGTTCATGTTTATTTTTGCTTTTTTTTTTAAATGGAGTTTTAGATGACTTCGGTTGTTCTTTTATTTATTCGTGTAAGCTAAGCCATTAATTTTGAATTTTCAGCTTGGGATATCCCTGGTTATACATAGAAAAGTCCTCGGTACGTGCCTTCGTATGTTGTACATCGTCGAGTCTAGTCTGTGCTATTATCCCCATTCCTAGTGGAACTTCTATAGCTAAAAATGATCCTTCTAACCATGACGCCAAGAAAATATATCTGAAAAAAAGGCTTCCAAGAAATACATCGCAGGGTCATCTTACATATAACTTCCCCAATATCATATTGAGCTAGATAAATCAGATTATCTGAAGTCTTACGTAGTCAAGGACCTAGGCCACATATGGGGTTAACTATATACTGTTGTCCATTTATGGCTCGAGTTGTAGCTCATTAGTATACTGCGGCTAGAAGAGATAGATGAGATTACATGTTTTTTCGGGACTGTTTGTGGAAAGGAAGGGATTTACGACGAAAGTCCCGGAAAGAGTAGCATGCTGGTCCAAGGCAAACGACGTGGCCAGTCAAAAAGAGCATAAGTTCTTGTAGAAAAAAAGGTGGTTCATTATTATCTGAAAGTCCTTCACTCGAAGCCGTCAGGTAGACTCAGCTTCGAAGACCGAAAAAGAAAAAACCAGTTAATACATCATGGAGATAGGCAAAGATCTATCCAAGGCATATGCCGAGAAAGCGAAAGCAGACCCAGACCCAGAAGCAGAAAGAAAAAAAAAAAAAAACTCCAGCGGCTTTCGCCTGCCATGTCCAGCCACCCAGCCCATGCTAACCCATAAATTTCGCCGACACGCAAGAATCTCAAGAAAAAAGGAACCAACTTCAGGATTTACGGGTACCAGGCATAGCTCTTGGTTGGCTGAGTACGCTCGCCATCCTTGGTCTCGGTAGTCCACTTGGACTTCCATTCGACCTCCTGGGCCGCAGCGTCAATGAGAGCTTCCTTGCACTCGGGCGGAAGCAACTCGAGAATCTCTGGAGTCATAAACTCGGGATGCTCTGGGTTGGCGACGCTGACCAGGCCGTTGGGGCCAATATCGTGCACATCACCGTCAGGGCCCGGGATGCCCATGTTTGAATATGGCGGGGATTCGTAGACGATGTCCTGGATGACATAGCGGTCGTGGATATGAGCGGGAACAGGGGAAAAGGTAGTGGCGGAGTTTTCGGTAGAGGGTTCACCAGTGGCAGCCTCGTGCGCTTCTTGGGTTTCGTGGGAAGTCTGATTCTCATGGTCGGAAGGAGAGCCTCCGTTGGAGAGGTTCAACGAGTTCATGTTAGTCGTCAACTCGGTCGGGGCGGATGCTGGAGCTGGGGAAACGCGCTCCCAGCGGGCGTGGGTTGGCTGCATGATCTTCGGGTGCTGCATAATATTTGTGTGGACATCGTACACACCACCCAGATTTGCACGGCGCATTTCGGCTAGCTTTGAATTAAAGTTGCTATAATGGATTAGTTCACAGGTCCAATTTGGTTGCTCACTGCCAAATATAGACTCACCTTGCGGCACGGGCGTGCTCGAGCATCCAATTGTCATCAGTGACTGGCACACGGCGTTTTTTGGTATCAACTGGCTTTCCACCAGCAAGCGGGACCGCCGGCGTGTTTGTATGATAAACACTGCTTGCGCCGTGCCAGGCGACGTACTGGTTCCTATTGTAAGTTTCTCCAGGTCCGGGCAATCTGTCTTCCGGAACGGCCAGCTCGCCCTCCACATCGCCGCGCTCGCGAGCAGCAGCTTCGTCATAGTCGTCGATGATCTTCTTGCCGCCAACGATAATCTTTGCGCCGAACTCGCGGAACACTGATCGTGCGGTGACAACACCAATGGCTCGTCCCTTGTAAGAGTGGGGGATGAGATCACGTTCAATCAAATCACGCTTGGCGTCATCATCAATGATAATCTTGTACAGCATCTTGTGCTTCTGGAAGAACAAGTAGGAGTCACGGAAGCCAATACAGCGAGCCGGTTCAGTCGACAACATGTAGAGGCGGTCTCCGCGACCAAGGATCTTGAATGTACGGACTCGATACTCGCGTCCGCCTTGCAGGTGGCCATTCTCGTCGACCTTGGTAGCGCCAATTGGGTCGGGCGGAATCGACACTTCGTCGTTGATTACATCCATCATGTTTCCTTCCTTGTCGACGGGCACCTGGGTGAGATGGGAGGGGCCGCGGTTGCGTGCCCAACGTCCACCGCTAGCAGCAGGCCGGCCGCGGCGTCTCTTGACTGGAGTAGTGACTCGAAGTGGTTGCTCGCCGTCGGCCGGATCCCATTCAGGTCGAGGGTTCTTGGGTGGGCGACCAATGCGACGCTTGCCACGAGGCGGAAGTGATGGGCGGCCAGGTCCGTAGGAAGGTGTGTTGTCTGTGTCGGGAAGAATTGAGTCTTCTGCGGGGGTCGCAACACTCAATTTTTCCTCTGGTTTGGGCGTGGCAGGTGTTTCAGCAGCCTGAACTTCGGCGCCTTCGGCTTTAGATTCGGCTTCAGGTTCGCGTTCAGGTTCAGGTTGAGGTTCAGGCTCAGGTTCGCGTTCAAGTTCAGGTTGAACGTCAATTTCAACGTCGGGATCTTTCTCGGGGGAGTCTTCTGTTTCGGCTATAGGCGAGGAGGGTTGAGAGGAAGGGGCGTCGAGCATCTCTTCATCAGACCCATCTGGAATTGAAGGTACATTTTCTAAGCTGGTTAGTCGCAAACGCGTCTAAGGGGAGGGTGAAAGTCGATGCATAGTAGAAGAGACGGGTGCTTGGGGCAGGTGTGGGCCAATGTAGCGTTGGGATCAACTCACTTATCGACTTTGCAGCCGCCTGGGCGGCCGCCCTTAGCTTTCGTGGCATTTTGTCGATGGTTGGTCGATATGCTGGGGAAGCGCAAATGGGGAGGAATAGCTGTTTTGCGAAGGGCCGAGGTTTTTCCGGGGCGCTCTACAGGCTGCAAACGCGGCAAACAACCCAATAGTGCAAACAATGCAAACTGGTGGGCATATCTTGTATGATGTCATATTATCTTCCTTACTCCAACGGAGCATTTCGGGCTGCACATCTACTCGGCTGTTGATCGGCGAACATCCTGCTTCTGCCTTTTTTTTTTTTTCGATATTCGTTCTTTTCCAATACTAGACCCTCAACCGCCATTGCCGTCTCAAAATGCCCATATTAAATTGATATCATAGGTTGCCTGCCTAGGACAGCATCTCGGGCTTTGTGTTACCCCCCAGTTGGTCAGAGAGTGCGGGGATTCGATGCTCAAGATGAGTTCATCTATAGGATCTACATATTAACAAAGCCCCATAAATACTCACCGGTGTTTAGTACACCGTTCTCTCTCGAATCACATTGCCATTAGGTGTCAATTGCATCCAACATCGAGACTGCATCGAAACGCATAGGTTAATTCCTTGTGTAACCACTGACCTCATTTTCTCTTTGTGCAGCCAATCTCCAATATCACATGTGAGAGATAGCTCCTGACTCGAACCCCCCTAGGAGGCTTGAGCAAAACCGGATACCGGGTCAGTAGCAAAGTTGCTTGGGACCAAGGAGCACGTTTCAATCATGGTAGCGAGTCACCGCTTGGACCATTGTTCGTGGACAACAGATTGGCCTTACTAGCAGTATATCTCCTTTTTTCGACCAACTGTGGAAACCCAAATAGTTAATATAAGAACGCCGGGAATATACTTGTGATCATGTATAATTTCTGCTGGCAACGGGAAGCTTGAGAAACATGAGTAGAAATGTGCTTACTGTGTTGCACGGAGTACAAGCCCGCAGATCATATCCCAGTGCAGATGACCTACAAATTCAATCCGAACTCGGACTCGGTCTTGTGCATAACGGAATATGCACATTGAAATCATGCAGGTTTCGGCTGTACATCGATGTAGGTTATATACCTCGAAAGGCTGTCGAGATTCCCGAATCGAGTATGAACTGCACGAGCCCATAGTAAATGGAAACACATTTTAATGGTACAAGTCCAGGGTAATGAGATATAATCCTTGAATGCTCTGGATCTATATTTCCATAGCATATTATTCGTACATAAACTCAAGGTTGAGGAAGATGCCGATCACCTCTTTATCCCCACCTATTTGACGGCGTGGATACAAGCTGAGGGGTTAAACCGGAGATCGGCAATAGCTCTCTAGCGCTTTTCTTACAATTATATTGTACAGTCGCAGCAAGCTCCTGTGGCACGTACATCATTCACGCGGGTCTTAAATCCGCCGAGCCACATGTTAGCGCAGAGGGACCTCACGCCCGCGCCCCGATGACGCATGTGGAGGGCAGCCTTGAAGCACCCATGCGACCACAGCATATCTCATATTTCACCTGGTATGCAGATGCAAGGGGAGCTGAGAGCTAGACCCGGGCCATATTGAAAGCTGAAAGGCTGACACGATCTCGGGACCGAGACTCGATCTATAGGTTTCACAGTTCTATTTCATTTAAAGTGAGTTTCTAAAATTTATATAAAGTACTCCCTCAAGGTATATAGACGTAAACTATCCGAATATAAGAAACATGTACGGAGTACTCCGTACTCGGATGTCAGACGTGAGAAGTGGAGATAAAGATATGCGCGATAAGAGAGAAAAATAGCCAGAAGGGCTGAGAGTTCTCAGCCTCTTTTTTGAGGTATAGCCACATGTTGGAGCCTAATGTCATTCCACCTGAAAATACAATAATTTTAATTTCTTCACATTCTAGTAAAATTATAAGGGGAAAAGAAGAAATAGGTGCCCGGGCAATTCTCTTGATATCTAGGGCTATTGAAGATTCCAAGATTATTAGCCACTCATATTCCCCCACATGACGTTTATCTTTTTCTGATCTCTGATTTCTAATTTCTAATAATAATTTCTCATTTCTTAGGAAATAAGGAATAATACAATGTCCAGCCCTTTTTAGAAGGTCAGCTTCTATAAGAGTATATCTTATGTCTTCTATGATATAACCTTGGAATCTCCAGAGACTTAATAATACCCGAGAAACATCCATCCATGGACTATCAGTGACCTTTTTTTTTTTTTTTCTCAAAGTTTTTTTATCTTTCAAGTGGATTTTTTTTTCTATTACCGAAGAAATTCCCACTTCTAAATCTCAAAAAGAAATCTATCGTTTTTTTTCTCTCTCTCAAATAAAAACAGAATCATTTTCTTGTTGGGGAAAATCCAGGTTCAAATCCATCCCGCAAACTCCCTTAGCTCATCAAAAAATCCTTTTTCCAACTTTCCCTGGAAATTTCCCCCCCACTCTACTCTCCCCATTTTCCGATTTTATTGAATGGAAACACAATGGCTGCGCAGAGTGGACCCGTGTTGCACGGCGACGACATGAAGACAATGAAGTGAGTCAACTTCTTTTTTTTGAATTCCTTCCAGAAAGGCGGGGTTGGATAGGGAAAAAGAGGGTCCACGATCCCCTCACACCGCATTGCATTACAGTCTGTTCTTCTTAGGGGTTGAACCTGCATGAAACACCTTTCGAGGATGCCTTTCTTTCTATCCTTCATATCGGAGCTTGTCGGAATTTGCCTACAACCTTTGAATTGAAGATTTTATCGGACTCATTTGGCTAATCTTCCGTCTCAATAGCTCCGGACTGGAAGACGATACCCTAGATCAGATCAGGTCAAATGGTTCTACCCCTACGCCGACTGGAATCGCAACACCTGAACCTGATCCGGCCGACAAACGTCTGCCTTCCATTATGCACAACTACTTCCAGGTTGGTTCTCTCTCCGGTGATAAAGCGAGTCTACCGCGGTTATGGTCATGTCTGTCGAAACCCTCTGAGGACCTTCAATCAAATGCGCATACCCAACATTCCTCCGATTCCTCCGAGTCTTTTGTCATGATGGAGCAGGAAGATGGGTCTGATAAGATGGATGAACACCCCAGTCTGCCCACCCCTCCACACTCTTTGTTACAGCACGAGTCAGATGAGATGGAACTTGGGACGAGTCCAGGAGTGTCCTCTATCTTTACAACGCTGAAGAATTACCTCATTTCACCCACACAAACTCCCCCAGAAGACTCTCCTTCCCGCCGGCAAACCTCCCTCCCAGTATCCAGCGTCTCCGATGACCCCGTTCTTGCCACACACTTCTCTATTCCATCCCTACCTCCTGTTGCCTTTTCCTTGACTGAAGCTCCCCTCCTCGACCATGAGAAACCGCATGTCTTAGTATCTTCTGAGAACGTAGCCAAGCTAACTGAACACGCGCCCGATGGGTCGCGTCTTAAGAATACCCCACCTCTTACCCCCCGGGCCATGTCCAACGAGGTCCCAGCCGCCCAGGAAAAGGCCGCCACTTCGACCCCGCAAGAGAGCCCGCAAGAGACTCCACAGTCGGAGTCAAAGCCGGACATCGAAACCTCCACGGACGAGATCACCATGAAACTCGATGAAGCATTCCCATCCCAGTCCCAGCCTGAGACTGCGCCTACGCCTGCTGCAACATCAACATCCCCGGCTAACGGTGCGCCCACAGGCCCGATCAATGGCAAATTGTTTGTGAAGATCACGGATGGTCGAGGATTGCGGCCAAGTTTCGATCCGTATGTGGTGTGTGTATTCGAATGGAATGAGTACATCTCCAAAGGTGCTCGTGACGGCGAGGAGGAAAAGAAACGGCGCCAGCTGGAGTCAGATGCCGAGGAGGCTGCTGGTCGGCCTATGGCCATTCCTTTGAAGACCCGATCCAGCTCTCACAACAGTGCTGTTGAGGGTGATCACAAGGGGCGGACGCCCGTGACCGACCCGCACTGGAATCACGAGGCCACCTTGTATGTTACCCCAACCCAGCTCTTTAACTTGGATCACTCACTAACATGTTTTGTTAAGTGATGTTATGGGAGATCAGTCGGAACTTGATGTCACAGTGTATGACCGCAACAACCAAGAAGCTTTCTTAGGTCACGTACGCCTCTGCATCAACCTCAAGGAAGACCACAGCCGACTAGAAGGCTGGTTCCCCTTAGTCGCGCGCGGTGCCGGCGACAACCAAGTCTCTGGAGAAATTCACCTCGACATGAAGTTCGAAAAGACAGATCGAAAGCAGGTCGGACCGAATGACTTCCTCGTCCTCAAACTTATCGGCAAAGGAACTTTCGGTCAGGTCTATCAGGTCAAGAAGAAGGACACACAGCGTATCTATGCCATGAAGGTTCTCTCGAAGAAGGTCATCATTCAGAAGAAGGAGGTGATTCACACGCTCGGAGAGCGTAATATCCTAGTGCGCACCGCGATGACGGCGTCTCCGTTTATTGTTGGATTGAAGTTCTCCTTCCAAACTCCAACAGACCTATACCTGGTTACGGATTATATGTCGGGCGGCGAATTATTCTGGCACTTGCAGCGTGAGGGTCGGTTCCAGGAGGCTCGGGCGAAGTTCTACATTGCTGAGTTGATTCTGGCTCTGCAACATCTGCACGACCACGACATCGTATATCGGGATCTCAAACCGGAGAACATTCTGTTGGATGCCAACGGTCACATTGCGCTCTGCGATTTCGGTCTATCCAAGGCAAACCTGTCGCAAAACGACACCACCAATACCTTTTGTGGTACCACCGAATATCTAGCCCCGGAAGTATTGCTCGATGAGCAAGGTTATACAAAGATGGTCGACTTCTGGTCCCTGGGTGTTTTGGTCTTTGAGATGTGCTGTGGTTGGAGTCCGTTCTATGCCGAGGACACTCAGCAGATGTACAAGAATATCGCATTCGGTAAAGTCCGATTCCCCCGTGATGCGCTTAGCACCGAGGGAAGAAACTTCGTTAAGGGTTTGCTCAACCGAAATCCCAAGCATCGACTGGGCGCCAACGGCGATGCTAAGGAGCTCATGGCACACCCATTCTTCCACGACATCAACTGGGAGACACTGTGCCGCAAGCAAGTGATTCCTCCGTTCAAACCGCAGCTGCAGTCTGAAACCGACACATCGAACTTTGATCCCGAATTCACAAACGCCATGGACCTGAACAACTCGCTCAATCTCCGCGCCGCAAACCTCGCCAACGGCCTCATGCCAGCCTCTACGCCCTTGTCGCCCGGTATGCAAGCCAATTTCAAGGGATTTACGTTCGTGAATGAGAGCTCTATCGACCACCACCTTATGGACGAGAGCGACCATATGGAAGAAGACTCTATGCACGACAATCACTGGCAACGAGGCCACCGGTCGTGCAACTCGGGCGACCAGCGCATGGCAGGCGTCCAGAAGACGCATGACGGCACGGAACCCGGGATTTTCAACGTTGATGATACCTTTGACATGTGATTACGTTTTCTTTTTTTTCACCTATTGCATGATCATGGAGTCTCGATCTGGCATACATTGTTGTTTCTTGTCTTGTCTTGTACATGCCCTTGGATTGCATCACATCCAACCCGCAAATATGGGTTTCCATTTCCATTTGCCTTCGCCTTGTTTTCTGATTCCCGTTTTCTCACTCACGGTGGTGTTTCAGCAGAGTTTGCCCCCACTTCCTTTCCTTTATCCTTTCAGTCTGTTCCCTGTTCTGTCGAATGCAGTCGAGACGGCGATCATTCTCTGATCGTGGTCCTGATACCAATATTGAGCCTCGCTATTCGTCATGGTTAGGACTCTCTCGTTCCTTTCGTCAGCCAGTTCCCAGTCACATACCCCCTCCCCCGGGGTTTCGGTCAGTTTCTTCACGTCCCGTTTCTGAGGAAGCCCCGGGGGACTCTTGCGTGTTTGGTGGAGTTGGGTTTGGGTAATTTTCATTGTGCACCTTTATTGTCAGTCATCATGTTCTGGGGCGGTTAGTCAAAGCGAGCTCTCTTTGTCTTTGTCTTCTATCCTGTCTCCGGCGCAGTGTTGATAACTTTATTCTCTATCCTCTGGGATTGATGTCCTGAATTTTGATACCTGCTCTTTTCTCTTGGGTCTTTCCTCCGGTCTTCTCTCCTGCTTCTATATTTGCTTTCTCTCTTCGCGGAGTTTCCTGTTCCAACACAGTACGGTGGTAATTAGAGGGATCTTTCCTCGCGGGCTTTTCTTTTTTTTTTTGCATATCCAGGTTTGATTGAAGCTACCCAGATTCGAGGACAACCGAGTCGTAGCAGAAGGTTTCATTCCAGTTCCATTTTCATGGCGTTAAGACTGGCATCGGCATCTCACGGGGCTCGATCTGCATTTGCACCGGGGAGGACGGATGTGCTATTCTAGTCGAATATCAGACTCTTCCATTCAATCCATCCATTATTGCGGTGGAACCCTTTACTACTTCCGAGGCTCTCTTGACAATGCTTCCCGTACTCCGTAGCATGTCATTTACTGTCCTGTTTGGGTTCCTCTCGTCCGATGCTTTGTACCTCATCTTGGTACATAGAATAGGCACATGTTAACATGGGGACTGTCAACCAATGATGACCTAAACTCAGATTTGTGCGATTCCTCTCTTATCCCGTCATCTGCTGTCCACGCAGCCTTAAGCCTAGATCATGTTAGGCAGGACCGCCTTTCTCTTTTAAGAAAATTTCTCCTCGACAACCTCCGAGGGCGCTCCTTCTACATCTGTCACCTCCTTCTATTTTAGGCCTACACATCTAGATAGGAAGGCGCAACCCAACCCAGGAAATTTACTATAACCCCCCCCTCGGGGTTTCAGCTTCTCCCCAACTATCCATATCTAATCCAAAATGACCAATCCAAAACCAACAATCCTCCCTTCAGCCTACACGCAAACAACACCGCCAGAAACATTTTCAACCCCAAATCACGGCGATGTATCCTGGCACACCTTAATTTCATCCCCGCAAACCGAGTCCACAGACCTCTGCGCAGGAATAGCAACATGCCCGCCAGCGTCAGGCCATTTGTGCGCGCACCGCCACACACAAACTGAGATATATCATATCCTCGAGGGTGAGGGCGATGTGACCATCGACGGGGTTTCGAGTAGAGTGCGAGCTGGGGGTACGGTGTTCATTCCTTCAGATGCTGAGCATGGGATTGTTAATACCGGGACTGTGGACTTGAGGTGGTTTTACGTTTTTCCTACGGGGAGTTTTGGGGATGTCGTTTATCGGTTTACGGGGGATGAGGGGGAAGGGAAGGGGATGAAGAAGGCGAAGCTGTGAGGGCGAGAGGTTGTTTTATGGCAGATACTAAAGTACATAGAGTACTAAGGAAATTCAAGGGACACTATCTGGATCCCAACCACTACCCCCACGCAGATAAAATTCCATCTCCTTATCAGAGTCCGAAGTGTTCTCGTCCAACTTCTGCCCATCTAGGTAGTTCGCAATCATCTGCTCCGTCCAGGATGCCCTCTCACGCGCTCTGAATGGTAAAATCTTCCCATGGTGATTCACGGCTAGGAATAATACCCAGCCCTCCTCACATGCCTTGCGATCCGCGACCACAATCATCAGATCCTGCCATTTTTCCAGATCGGGTAGTGTTTCGTCTGATATATGAGGCCAGTGCCACTCACGACGTGATAAGCCTTCAAATGTATCCGGATAGTGCATAAGTGCCGTGATTAGATACGATGGTACAGAGCCTGGCGTTCCACGGGCGATTCCGTCCTCGAAATCAGGATTCGTATCTCCTTCAGGCGTGGTAATAATATCAGGACCGAATTCTTCCTTGCTCTCAAAGATACACTCTTCTTCTAGACATGAGTTCGTTACATTCGGATCGCCATCCTGCATCACCATAATGCGGAGCCGGCTGTATGCAACATCGGCAGCATCTTGGCTTGCCTTGTCATCTTTCTGTCCGTACCACGTCCGGATCCAGAAAACTCTCGATATTTGACCATCTAAGGCTCGCTCCTCTTCAGTCATGAGGTCTTGAGGTACATGTAGAGGGAATTCATCTGGGGGGTCGTCCCCTGCTGGGTATTTCTATTTCTCCATTAGTATTTCTACGGGCCTAAGAGAGGGGGCTAATGTTACATTGCGGCCGTGTTTGCCAAGCCGGAGCCAAGACTCAACAAGAACACGATGCTGTTGTTTCTTTGAAAAAGGAGAATTGGGATCCCATGTTGCCTGTTAATGATCGATTTTAGTAGTCTCTTTCTACGTTTGGCGGATGACCTACCATAACATGGTAGTCAAAAGGCAAAAAGCCAAATGGCACGATGTCAGTTTCATCTACCATTCTGTAGTTTTGTTCTTGATTTAGGGCATTTCTTTTCTTAGCCTCGGGAGTTTCAGGAAGAGGGGAGGGAAAGGAGTTGGAACAAAAACAAACAAGCGGGAAGACTAGACCTGGGGAACATGTGAAGGAACTTTTGTTTGCGTTAAAAGCAGCCACATCCAATTTTGCTTCTCTGAGCGCAGATGCCTCATATCTAGGCCATTGAAACTAGATCCATATCTCATCGTTTGGTTCATTTGATAGGATGAATGATGGTATCCATGGATGGTCGAGTTCTCATATCCCGCAGTCCTGTCCCTGGGGTCAGATGGCTTTTTGCAATTTAGTTTGTTTTAGTTTTAGCAAAACTCGACGTTTTTTTTTGTGATAGCTGGCGATCGGGAAGGACATTTCCAGGGACTTCCTCCTTTAGTACACTGATGGTGTTTTTGGTTCTCGTCTCAATTGAATGCAGGTACGTGGACAAGTGGACCTTCCAAATGGAATTTTAAGTCCTCAGGAACGCCCCCAAAGCGGCACTTTCAAGCCCTGGTCGTCGCATAACGAGATCCAATGGCGCAATTGGCCGCAGTACTGGAATTGGACCCTCAGTGCGTCTCCACCAGATCGTAATTTTAGTTGTGATTCTCTTCCACGTTTCGATCTGTTAGAGTGGATTGAGATGTACCTGAGAGTTCCGCTGGTGGCCCATATATATCATAGTATGTCAAGGGGAATGATGTGGACGGACTACTCTGTACTACGCGTTGAGTTTTTTTTTTTTTTTGCATGGAGTAGTCTATTCGCCGATCTCGCTAGATCTGGGAAAGTGTTGCTAGCCCTGGAGGGATCTTAGTCTACTCGAGTCATGTTTTTCTCGGTTTATTATTCAATAATTTAATAATAGGTACACTTTAGACTATATATTATACTGTAGGTTGTATTCGGAACGGAGAAGGTTGATATTGTCAATAGTGATACATATGTCGATCCTATGCCATGCAGTGACGCGCAGACGGAGTACTTTGTCCAAAGTCAAATGTAAGAAAAGCGTTCAGGGCTGAGCCGTCCAATTGCCTATTTCATTGGCCTGCAGGATGATATGCGCATGGGCCGTTTGGATATAAAAGGGGATATTATATACTATTTACTATAAACTGAAACAACTTACTGTACTAACAATCTAAATCAACTTAAAAGAGAGATAATAATATAACATCGTCAAAAAGCAAAGACAAAGAAAATGAAAAGGGGTAAAAACGACTATGATCCACTGGGGTTAAACCTAAATGGGTAATAGCGTGGTCAGGACGAACCCTTGACACTCGGATACATTTTGATATTCATCTTATATGGATGCATTGTAGGGATATTGGAGAATATATATGTACATATATAGATTCAAATACTACAAGTCTACAGGTTATTTGTATATACAAATACAACTACAATTCTCTATATATCCGGCGGATATAGCAAAAATTATAGGCAACCCCTGAACCGCCCCTTCCCGTCTCCGCTCTTCACTTATGCACGGCTTACAGTAAAGGTCCACGACCTTCAAATCATTCCTGATGTGGGGGAGATCGACTGCCATTGTCTTTTCTTTTTCCTTTCTCTCCCTTTTCCAAACGTGCTAGTTCTACATAGTTCTGGTCCTGTTTCCAGATATTCCTACTTCATATTCTTACTCTTTCTCTTCACCCTTTCTTGGATTGCTTAATACGCGTGTGACTTTATATGGAATCTGCTGATCGTCATATATTACGCCATTTTCCGATCTCCCTACATTCCCGAACCCCTCCACCCTATTGGGAAGTGTTTGCTTTTTTCTGTCTCGCGTTTGCTCCGATGCCAGAGCAATTTCACAATGAGTGTTGTCGCCACTAGAACGGAGACCCCTGCGGTATCTCACAATTCAATCCCTGAGAATCATGCCGACTATTCCGTACATTCAAATGCTTCCCGAACCTCCTCGATATCTTCCTACAGAACCAACTATAGCGCCTCAACCGCGCCTACCACATACTCCCCATCTTCCCCATCCTCATCTTACCGCCAATCCGACTCGGTCAATTCTTTCCCCAAGTTAGCGGAACCGATCCAACGCCGAGTACCACACGAGGTCTACAAAGTGATAATCCACCATTTAGAGGGGTTACACAAAGGGCAGCACCAGGCAGGATGTACCACGTGTTTTCAACGAGATTTACACGCCTTATCCTTGACCTGTCGGTCTTGGGAAAAGGCGGTTAGAGGTCCTCTGTGAGTTTTGAGTCCAGCCTCACCTGGATTAATTCAAGGGCAGAAAACCAGGATTGTTTGCTGACTGAACATGCTATACTAGATACCACAGTATACACATTGTCGGAAATGATTCCCCGGCCCAACTCAAGAAATATCGTTTGAAGAGAGGGAGTCGCCTGAAGCTCCTGAGACGGACTCTCCGTGAACGAAAGTTGCTGGCCAACCTTGTATACGAACTACGGGTACCTCAATTAGATTTGCTCTTTACCACGATGAAGCAAGGCACGCCGTGGCAGGAGTATCGAGACCTGGTAGCGTCCGTGGTCATGGTATGCCCAAATTTGGAGCGCCTGTTGGGCTTGTCCATCCCGTATCACCATGAATTCGATCGTCTGACCCATGCTTTGTCGACCCGCAAAAAGCTTAAAGAGCACACTTGGGTTTTGGGCGAGGCCGCACAAGCATCGGAACTGTCACCGCGCGACGACTCCTGTCCTGGGAGCCTTGGTCCCTCCCAAATGTTCGAGTTTCTGGATTACCACACCTCGTGGACAAGTCTGGAGACACTAATGCTTTATGGATTGAATGGAAATGGCGCGCTGGAGCCTAGTATCTCCCTACGTATGTTTAATCTTCTTCCCTCGTTGCGCAACCTTTGCATCACCTCCTTCAATAAAGACTCCTTCGACAATAGCACATTGATGTGTCTGCCGCCATTGGAGTCATTAAGGTTGGAGAACCTGGCCGGGGTTACAGACGCTGGTCTCTCGCAGTATACGACACGACCTGAATCACTCTCCCTCAAGACGCTCGTCTTGGTCGAGCAGAACATCGAGTCATTGCTAGTCATTTCCAAAATTCTCGCGTCACTACGACAGCTTGAACGGTTCAAGATAGTCCAGACCGAAAAGTGCCCAGCTTTGCCGAACGAGCATATGATCTTCCAGCCTATCCTGGCCTCATCGACTCTAAAATATCTCCATTGGGATGTGGCATGTCCAGATCCAGACACAGCCCTTACCCAACTTGATACCCTCCCTTTCCAGAAATCCACAAAACCCTCCAATACCCCCAACTATCACCTTGCCCAAAGCATCATCTCCGCTGGTTTCCCTCAATTGGAAGCTCTCCGTGCACCCTCCGACGTGGAGCCCCCAGGTGCGCTCCAGGCTGTCTGCCGGCCTATATTAAAGGGTCAAGCCTTACTCCGACCAGACCGGTACAGCTTGCCTCGCAGCTCCCACGGCTCCGTGAATACTCGACCGCTCGCTCTTCCAGCGGGGAACAACCTGACTTCGGCTCGAATCCGTGCCCAGACGTTCATCGACATGGCCGCCAAGGACACCGAGGCCGGCATGCGGGTTCTGATCCAGGATTACTCGGACGAGTATGTGCCGGACAACGCGCAGAATTCCCAATTCGAGGAAGAGCCCGACCAGGAAATGGACGACTACGGGATCTGGGCTGCCTGTGAGCGGTTCAAACACGAGGACAATGACCACAGAGGCCCCAAAACGGTCTACGAGTTCCGCATGCCAACCTTGATGGGCCGTACTGGTTTCCGGGATCCGGCAACAAATGCATCGATTCCTCACTTCGTCCTCCGTCCTGATATCACCGGCCAGGAGTTAGACGGTGGCTTGATTGGGTGGAAGCAACTGCTAGCCTCGAACCAGTCACTGTCATATGCTGCCGGAGTAGGCGTCAACTGCTTCGGTAGCGGAAGCCCTTCTATCCCACCTCCCGAGGAGCCCATGTCGCCTGCATCCACCATTTCCAGGTTTGGCTGGGGAAGCTTGAGTGGGCGGTCTGTGATGGGTACGTCGCCAACGACACCCACCACACCAATCACGCCTATAAGCAGTGTAATGGGCTCGGCCTTGCCTTGGGACAAGGATACCTGCACTGGAACCTGGAACCACAAAATGGGCCGGGACTGGTGGTTCCATATGGAGCGTGATCGTCCGAGCAACTCAGAACTCGTCGACGTTAAACAACTTTTCTAACCCATTCTTTCTACTCTCCGATCTTTCTTTTCTCTCCTTCTATTTCTTGCCTACATACCCTGCCATATACCCCACACTTGTTAGATTCTCTTTTTCTTATATCCTTTTCTGTTCATTTCTTCATCTCGTTTCGATCGTCCGATTCGCTGGTTCTTATCTCATTGTACAGGTTCATGAAACACGCTTCTGTGTCAGATGGACGGAGATGGCGTTGCATAATGATTTGATGTGCTTTGGCTCTTAGCCATTCGAATTATCTTTCATTGTTGTATCATTATTGGCGCTGCGGTGGAAGGTTAATGTGCAGTGTTCTTCTTTCTGTTTTATTTGAGTCTGCGTACTCTCTGTATCATATTTGTACAGCATTGGCCTCATAGTATATAATAACCGAACAGCATTTGACATGACTCATTATCCTTCTTATGTAAAGATAGTCCTACAGCCAGTCTACGGGTTGTAGTTATAGTTAGTTAGTCACTTGGACACCTGGACGATGTGGCACCTATCAACAGCGGTGCCTCGAGGCAGTATAGACGATGACTCATCCCGGGCTAAATCGGACCGATAAGCGAATGTCAACTGATAAGCATTGAATACAAAGAGCCCCTCGTTGAGAAAAAAATATCCCCCACCTTCGCTTTCATAATCGTTATCCGTCGCAATGGACCCCGCAAAGCCCGTCGACCTGCCTGAGAGGCCCAAGGAGGCCACCGAGCCTACGGCTCCACCCAAGAAGTCCAAGAGTCAGGAGAAGAAAGAGGCTGCAGCGGCCAAGAAGGCGGCAGCCAAGCTAGCAAATAAGGACCAGCCCAAACCAAAGGGAGAGGCAAAGGCACCCAAGGCCAAGGAGGCTCCTGCGCCCCGGGACCCTAACGCTATGTTCAAGGTCGGCTTCCTGCACGACGTGTACCAGGAAAAGCCCCTCTCCGAGACCGTCCCCAAGATCCGCACGCGATTCCCGCCCGAGCCCAACGGATACCTCCACATCGGCCACAGCAAGGCCATCGCAATCAACTTTGGATTTGCGAAGCACCACGGTGGTGAGTGCATCCTGCGCTTTGACGACACCAACCCAGAAGGCGAGGAGGAGCGATACTACAATGCCATCCGGGAGATTGTGACATGGCTCGGCTTCACACCTGTGCGTGAGACCAACGCCAGCGATAACTTCGACCGCCTTTACGAGCTCGCAGAGGACCTCATCAACCGTGATGGCGCATATGTCTGCCATTGCACCAAGTCCGAGATCAAGGCCCAGCGTGGTGAGATCGAGGGCGGCCAGCGCGGTGGAGAACGTTTCTCATGCAGCCACCGCACACGACCCATTGAGGAGTCCATGGCTGAATTCCGCGCCATGCGCGACGGAAAATACAAGGCTGGCGAGGCAGCACTGCGCATGAAGCAGGATATCACAGACCCGAACCCGCAGATGTGGGATCTGTTCGCCTGGCGCATCATGGGCACCGAGGACAGGCAGCACCACCTCACCGGCGGCAAGTGGAAGATTTACCCAACCTACGACTTCGCGCACTGCTTGTGCGATAGCATTGAGGAAATCTCGCACTCGCTGTGCACAACCGAATTCGAGCTCTCTCGCGTCTCGTACGAATGGCTCTGCAACAAGCTGGAGGTCTACTGCCCCAACCAGCGTGAGTACGGCCGTCTTAACATCACCGGCACAGTTCTGTCCAAGCGCAAGATCATCCAGCTCGTCAAGGAAGGCCATGTCCGCGACTGGGATGACCCACGCCTGTACACGCTCATCGCGCTGCGCCGTCGTGGCGTGCCCCCCGGCGCGATCCTTGCCTTCGTTAACGACCTCGGTGTAACAAAGAACACCACCAACGTCCAGGTCGCCAAATTCGAGCAGATCGTCCGCCAGTACCTTGAAACCACCGTCCCACGTCTGATGGTCGTCCTCGAGCCGCTGAAGGTCATCATCGACGATCTCCCAGAAGATCACCTCGAACTCCTCGACTGCCCCTTCTCCAAGGACCCAGCCTTCGGAACCCACAACATCCCCTTCACGAAGACAGTCTACATCGAGCGATCTGACTTCCGTGCCGTCGACTCGCCAGACTACTTCCGCCTCGCCCCAGGCAAAACAGTCGGCCTCCTCAAAGCCCCCTACCCTATCACGGCGACCTCCTTCGAAACAGACCCTGCCACCGGCGAGGTCACCTGCGTGCACGCCAAATACGAAAAGCCCGCCGAAGGCGAAGCCATCAAGAAACCCAAGTCCTTCATCCACTGGATCGGCGAGTCGGCCGCGCACAACAGCCCCATCCGCGCTGAGGTCCGTGCTTTCAACTCGCTCTTCAAGTCCGAGGATCCGTCTGCCCACCCGGCTGGTTTCCTCGCCGATATCAACCCGGACTCTGAGGAGATCTTCAAGGATGCTATGGTCGAGACTGGATTCCGGGATATCTCCCGCTCGGCGCCGTGGCCTAAGGAGGAAGGTGTTGCCGAGCCTGGTGAGAATAAGCACTCTATTCGCTTCCAGGGTATGCGTGTTGCGTACTTTGCTGTTGATCGCGAGTCTACTGATGAGAAGTTGGTGCTTAACCGCATTGTTACTCTTAAGGATACCCAGGGTAAGAATTAAGACTTAGAACTGTGGGTTTTCTGATCTGAATGCCTTTGCTTCTTTGTTCTTGACTCTTTAGCTTCTCTATTATATTTCCTTTCCTGTTCCTTTATATAAAACACATGGTGGAAGTTGTGTGGGTGTGTGTGATGAGCCACGGTTGTTGGTATGGATTTATGACCATTGCATCTTTGCGTGTCTTTTTATCTTTTTTCGGCTCTTGGAGATTCTCTAGGCTGTTGTGGTATCCACTATGCATAATTGATTCTAGTGACAGTTATTGATATACGCTACAATTCACAGTGCGTAAGTAGGACTTTTGAATCTGAATATCTATGATTACGAGTACAACTCCGCCATATAGACAGATGGGTACATTCGTCACAACGCAAATGATCAAACACAATTTACTTGGAAAATGTATAAAGAAAATCGTAATAAAAGGTCTACGCCATTCATGCATAACGAATTACCAGCTTCCATTCAAGCCGAGGGAGCATACATACACGAGATGACTCGAGACGTCAAAAAGAGGCAACAAAGCAGAGAAAAACGTGTATGGATCGGGACATAAAAAGCAAGACGGTCTACTCTAGACATAGATGCCCATGTTGGTATCCTTCTTCTTAGCCTGGACCTCGGCGATAGCATCGACGTAGTTCTCATGGCCGATCTTGCTCAACCCCTTCCGGAGTGCAATCATACCAGCCTCAACACAAACAGCCTTGAGCTGGGCACCACCGAACTCGTCCGTGCTGCGAGCCAACTCGGCCCAGTTAACACTGTCCTCAACGGACATCTTGCGCGAGTGGATCTGCAGGATGTTGGCGCGGGCTTCCTCGTTCGGCAGGGGGAACTCGATCTTTCGGTCCAGACGACCGGAACGCAGGAGGGCAGGATCCAGCACATCGACACGGTTAGTTGCCGCCAGGACTTTGATGCGGTCGTCCGAGGCAAAGCCGTCCAGTTGGTTCAGGAGTTCCAGCATGGTTCGCTGCACTTCGCGATCTCCGGATTTCTCTGAGTCGAAACGCTTGGTGCCCACGGCGTCCAGCTCGTCGATAAAGATGATAGAGGGCGCCTTCTCCTTGGCCAGGGCAAAGCAGTCGCGCACAAGCTTGGCACCGTCTCCGATGAACATCTGCACCAGTTGGGGTCCGGCGAGCTTGAGGAATGTGGCGTTCGTCTCGGCGGCACAGGCACGGGCCAGAAGCGTCTTACCGGTACCTGGGGGTCCGTACATCAAAGCACCTGCGGAAGAGAAATGAAGAGGTTAGCTTTGGAGTACAGGGGAAAGGGGAAAGTAACTCACCCTTAGGGGCCTTGATGCCGATTTTCTTAAAGCGCTCTGCCTCCTTCATAGGCCATACGATAGCTTCCACGATCTCTTCGATCTGCTTATCCAGACCACCAATATCTGTGTACTTCTCCGTGGGCTTCTCATCGACCTCCATTGCCTTGACGCGGTTGTCATACTCGGCAGGTAGTGTGTCCAGAATGAGATATGAGTCCTTGTTGACACCGATCAAGTCACCGGGCTTCAGCGTTTCGTGGTCAACAAGGCCAATGAGGGGAAGGAAGATCGTCTGGCGGGTGGAGGTCTTGATGACAGCGGATTTGCCTACGCGGGTGGCATCCAGGTCGATATTAGCCCCTTCCTCTGCTGCCTCTGCCTCCACATCAAGATCCAATAGCTCGACGACGTTTCCAACAAGGTATGGTAGTTGTCTAGATAGTCGCAGGTATAAATGTCAGTAGACTGTTGAAGGTAGAGTGTCTTTTCGCCGATCCGCAAGCCGGCCACCAAGCTCCGCGGGCTTGCAGAACAACGAATACGGGGATCGGTGAAAGCACACCTGTTGTTCTCAATCTTCTCTTGATTATCCTTCACCTTCTCCCTCATTGTGCTCTGCTCATGTGTCAAACGTTGGAACTCGCTTTTCATGATTCGCATCTCGTTCTCCAGCATCCGCCGTCGCGTAACGATGTCTGTCGTGCTTGAGTTCAAGATATCCTCGTCCAGCATCTCTTCTTCTTCGTCTTTTTTGTCGGCGTCTTGCATATCGGCATCGCCGTCGCCTTCGGGCTTCTTGCCATCGCCATCGTTCTGGTCTTGCTTCTTCTCTCTCTGCTCCTGCTCAAGGTCGTCGAGGTCCTCAAGAGTCGACATGGCGGAACCGAGAAATTGGGAATTATAGAATTAGATCAATAGAAATCTCGGGAATGAAAAGCCAGCAGGTCAATAGATTGGAAAAGGATGGGGGAGGATGAGACAAGGTTGCTGGGAGGAAGAGCTGTTGGTGGCCGAGCTCCAACAACGTCAGCCATAGAGCGTCACGTGATGTGATCTACGTTTATAATCAAGTGCGATTCGATTCTATCTACTTTGGAATCGCGTTTGTTTTGTACAATATGAGAATTTTCTGTCGATTTATTTAGTGTCAGGTACCATATATTCTAGATAATCCAATAAGGATTATCAGGATGATTTCGGACGTTGCCAAGGTTGTCCAGCACCGCTTTCCGGCCGAACTTGAGCAGACGAAGTCGAGAAATGTAGTCATCGTTGTTGACTGGTACTTCGTTAGAAAAAAACATGAAAGGTGGGTTATTAGATAGTACATACCGTAGCCACCACACATTCGCCTCTTTCCAGTAAATTCAGAGCGGCCATGTAACATTCTCCAGTTATCGAAGACTAAGACAAACATGTAAGCCGAAGTAAGTAATCTTCAAAATGGCACGAAGGACTTACTGAGCGCCGAGCCTGGTTTTAGCTTCGTCCACATTTCTTTGCTCTTCAAGATCTTGTTATAGTGGCGCGCAGCGCTGTACCACATGGTCTGTTCCGGTACCGACAAATTGCTGTTTGGTGCACGATCATAGTTGTTCCAACGGATCTGGTACATTCTATTCGAGTCCGGGTGCATCGAAAATACCGGTGCCATGCCGGACGGTTGGATGCATATGTCTTCGTTCCCGCTTGCGTGCCACGGCTGCCTATATTTTACCAATGAGGCATAATGCTCGGGGTTCTCGCGGCGTAGTTGAGCTGCGGCTGCAAATCCATCAACTAGGAGATTTTCCCCCCAGATCCTTCGGTATGAGATAGCAGGTGGAAAAGCTGAAGTCTTGCAGGATCTGTGAAGTAAGTATTGTCTGTATGAGCACCTAGGAATTCGTTGGTGTATGCCGTGTCTTTAAAAGTCAAATCGGCTGTGAAATCCCAAAAGCCACCTGAAGCTATGTTAGCTGAACGATGCATTAGTAGATTGTGAATCTACGGTGCATACCATAATGGGTGTTTCTGATGAACGCAATCCGCTCGATGAGAAATTCAGTCGCCTCTGGGTTGATAGGAACGTCGTCTACAAAACAGAATCCATCTTTCCACTTCGTCAATTTTAGCAAGTTTGATCAGGAAGTCAAGACAGGGGGCTTACGATATGGCTTAGCCAAATATGAAGAGATTCATCGTCTGACATAACATCGTCATATTTGACTCTGGGACTTTTGTTTTGATCCAGGACTGAGGTAAAGTACCTTCTATGGCATTAACGTCATTCTGTGACTGATTCTTTGGCTTTGGGTAACTCACCTGAGACCATGCAGTTCTGATTGGGGATATGACACCGACTTGGTCCCTTCAAGGTCAGGTATGGTCTGCGTATGTCCATAAAGCCAACCATGTGGATAAAGTCCCATGTGATTATCAGACCCTGTAGCGATGTTAGTTTTGATAGTAAAAGTATCAAAGTTATGCATGTCATCTCTCACACTTGATCATGGTCATACTGTCACTGTGCTCGATTGACTCTATCTTGACATTCTGTGGGATCTGTAGGGATAGCATCAGAAACTGTGCAGTCTCAAGAGGTTGTGAGATTTCCTACTGAGAAAGTGTCGCTTATCCTTTGCATCGTATCCGGATGAATACATTTGGGACACTGGCAGTTTTCTCTAGTCGCAGGCATCAAGTTGTCAATGGAAGGCCAAGCTTCTAGTTTTGTGTTTTGGTCACTAACCTGAGGAAAAAACGACCGCTGTAAAAAGCAAGTTAGTTGTTATTCACCTTCTTTGGAGTTGCAGCAAACTTACAAACTAAGCTTAAATCTTTTCTCCATTCCACCTGTGGGGTGAGGGAATGTTACTATATCGGACTGAGACCGGGGACCGTCCACGCTCATCATGGTATTCAGCAATCTCGATGAGCCAGGTGTGACATGTCGGTAGCCAGTCGTCTATGAGAAACGGAACAAGGAGGCCGAGTTAGTTTATTTATGATCAATTTGGGTGTATATCATGCACTAAATTCATACCAAACGGCCAGCGGAGGAATAGCGGGGCCTCAGACTCTTGGGTCTAATTGGAGAGGGTTTTAGCGTTGAATGTTAATAACAGAAGAAAGGAGATCTTACCCGGTGCGAGTCCACAGCCCACTCGACCTGAGTGCTGTGCGCCAGCTGGAGATCATGGCCAATATGGATAATCAGGGGTTCTAAGGTAAAGGATAAGGAAATAGTATGGAAGGACAGATCCGGGGTAGCAATTTGTAAGAGCTTCAACTTGCCCAGGTGAGTTCGGAACCCGACAACCGAGGTTACAGTCACGTGCGGGTATACGGAACTATATTGGCATAGATAGTTTAATTCTCTACGAAACTGGCATTCGGTGGTAAAAAAATATTTACTTAATATGCATTTTGAACTGCAAACCATACGCAATCGTAATCACAGCTTGCTCTTCACGCCTGTCACCTTCAACAGACAACGCCCATTGCTCAACACAACCCGACCCTTATCGTTCTTAGTAACAAATCGGATCTCCTCATAGCCATCCTGAACATTGCCTATTCTCCAAATCTCAGTGGTAAGCTTATCGCCGGGCCGGACAGGCGAGGCAAAACGAGCCTGAAACTCCTTCATATTAGCAGGGTTGCTACCACCCAATTCACGCAGAATGCCATGCGCAGCAGAATTCCAGCTGAAAAGACCGTGGATAATAACACCACCGAAGCCCATCTTCTGGCCAGGCTCCGGTGTGGCGTGGAGAGGGTTGTAGTCACCATTGAGGCTAGTCAAGGAGTTAGTATTAGACATGTCGAGTATCCACTTTTATCAATTTTATAGAGCTGGTCTCTGTACGGGATATGCACTGGGTACTTACCGGTAAAGGTGGGCCGTCTCCAAGTTGCTCTGAACAACATGGGTAGCGTCGGGGGCCTTGCCTTCCGGTGGAGGATAGTTGACGGTGCTAGGTCCTGTTCGAATGTGTCAGTTGATACTTCACGGTGGAAAATCAAACTGGAATTTTACCCTTCGGGCCACCCCAGCCACCCTGTCCGACCAGGAAACCGCTACTCACGACCTTGGTGTACACCTCGCCGCTCTCCTTATCCACGATAGACTGCTCGGTTTCGATCACAGTTCCAGGCTTGCCTTTATCATAGACACCAATGACCTTATTGCGCAGCTCAAACTTGCGCCCTGCACTAGTGGTAGGGAGTGGCTTCAGGATTGTGATCTTACGCTGGCCATCGACAGCATGACGATGGTCCAGCTCGGGGACGCCTGGGATGCGAACTGCCTTCTGGCGGGCATAGAAATCAGTCACTTCTTGATCAGTGAGCTTGAATGCTATTGGTTTCAGAGTTAGTGCAATTGCCCCAAAGTGCCCGGGACGCTTAACATACGGAGGATGAGAGAATAGGTTGGGAAGACCGAGAATTTGGGGTGGAGCTCCTAGACACTAGTTAGATTATGGTATTTAGATTAGTATCTATGTAGCTTGCGGCTTACATAGAGGAAGTGCAGCTCGTCGGCCTTGATACCAATGCTATTGGCGAATAATAGCACATCGCGCTTCTGCCAAGAGACCTCTTGGGCGGGGAATTCGTGACCAGCTCCAGGGGCCGACATCGGGATGGTAGTATGAAGGTGATAATGAATATAGGATCAGATATATAAAAAATGGGCCAGATGTAAGGGAAATAAAGAAAACAAAGGATCACTGGCAGACTAAAGTAGCTCCTGTAATTGCGGGGGCCATCAAGGAGCCGAGGATCTGATAATTATTTGTTGCCGTGGTTTTACCGACGAGGGTATCTCCTTGGCATAATTTCATTTTGCAGATCTTAATTATTTTTAAAGTCTAAAGTCTACGTGGAAAACAAGTCCAGAAGAAGAGCGTTGGAGTTTGCTAGACTAAGCATCGACTCGGGTATCTACCTGGAAATTCGAGGAGCTTCAGAATGATATCCCTCCGTTCGCGCCACAAAATGCCTTTTTTCCTGCCTCCCAAGAACTAAACGCCGAAATAAACAAAGGCGAAACCAGATGTCCAATTCGCCTTGGGCAATTTCATACATGCCCATGCCAGGATGCATTGCGTGACGAAAATATTTCACTTAGATCGTGCAAACGTGAAGTTGTACATCCCAATGACATCAAATTAGAAAAGTGGAACAAAATTAACACCTATGATGCATTAGTATAATGATCTCAAAAAAGGGTCAAAATGCCGGAACTTACATGCGGTAGAAGCAACCACCCTCAGCAGCGCGAGTAGCATCGGGGGTCTCGAACTTGTACGAGATGCCGATATCCAAGTCACGCTTGTTCTTATCGTTGGGGCGGTTCTCGACCCAACCGGTGACCTTCTCATCCTCCTCGACGGTGAGGACATCACGGAGGTAGAACACGGTCTGCTTCCAGTGAGTGTACTTGGCGTGAGGACCAGTGGAGAAGTGGATGGGCTTGTGGCAGGCGCTGAACTCGATATCGAACCAGGCGATCAAGGCGTGGATGAAGTCGGGGCGCTTGGCAGTGAGGGCATAAGGCACCTTGAAGGCAAGATCAGCCGTGGTGACGGTGTTCAAATCAAAGGTGATGATCGGGCAGGGATCGGTCACAAGAGCCTTCATCTCGACGGTATCGACGAGGGGCTCGTTAAGAGCAATCTCCTTCATGGGGCTGTAGTCAAATCCGTAAACGTTGTCCCAGACTGAATTTGGTCAGTACAGCAAAAAGAAAAAAAAAAGGGTTCCAGGTAAAATAGTTGCTTACATCCAATCTTGTCGTCCTTGTAGTCGCCATCCTCAATACCAGCAACGTACATAGTGGCCTTATCGGGGAAGATCAGACCACCGGGGTTGAGGTAGGTGTCACGGGCGTAGAGCACGGTGTCCAGCATAGACTCGTACAGAAGGAAGTAACCCATCCACTCGGAGATAATAATATCAACCTTGGGGAAAGGAAGGTGAACTTCCTCCATCTTGCCCTGGAGGAGAGTAATCTTATCGGACAGTCCATTGACGTGGACAATCTGACGGGCCTTCTCAATAATGGAGGACATATCGACACCAATGACGTGCTTTGCGCCAGCACGGGCAGCAAACCTGGTGAACAAAGCAGTTAATAAGTGATCTAAAACCACAGGATCATTACCCGGATACATACATGCTCAGAATACCAGTTCCACAGCCGACATCGAGGACGACCTTGTCCTTGAAGATGTGGCGGTTCTGGTAGATGGAGTCGCGGTAGGAGCGTGTGCGGACATCATCTTTCTAGAAGGCAGAAAATATATGTTAGAGCACCGTAAATAGCCAATTGACCAGTAAATTTGTACTTACAAGCATCTCCTCGTGGATACCTGTGGCAACCCAAAAAATAAATCGTTAGTCAAAACCACACTAAAAATTTGCTATCATGGATCAAGATAATTTACCATGGTGGTCGTAGCTATGAACTTATTAGCATCATCATCCGAAAGACCCAATGGAAAAAATAACGTACCTAGTGAAGTAGCGAACTTCAGAGTGCTCCATGCCAACCATGCGATCAGCACTGCTGGTGATCCCCTGAGGGTTATCGGATTCGGTGTCCATCTTGATAAAAAGAAGAACGGGTCGAAAAGGAAGAATATAACAGAGTAAAAAAAATAAATGGGAAGGATGTTAAAGATAAAAGTCCAACAGAGATCGATCCTTAACTTTTTTTTTTCTGGATTATTTGCCCGCCCGCCAAGCTTAACTCCAATCCCCGCCCGCGCTAGCCGATTTGGGGGATCACGTGTATAATCACGTGAGAGGACTTGCCCTCATTTATATAGGGCTATCTGCGTGGCATAGTTGTACGTACAACTGGGAAGTTCTAGGGATAATGATGTGTACCTGCATCATATGTGGGTGGTATCTATGTGGGGAATAGCACTTACCCAAGGATAGCAAGTACCCTTTGATGGTATTTGATGTTTAGAATAAATCAATTGAGCTATTAACCATGTCTTTCTTCCTTTGGAGTGAACTAGCAAGATCTCCAAGCAATAACGCCTCATGACAAGCATGATAAAATAAAGTCAATTTCACTTCGATTGTTAGTTGTAGAAAGTACATCAATGGCTCTGTGGGGTAAATAAAGAACTGTTTGGTTGCCAAGACCACCGAGGGAGGCTCTTTGATGCCGCCGGGAGCTCCGCTCCAACCTGTCATTCCCCAAGCTTACGCGTTGAACGCCTAAGACCTCGGAACTAAACTTTCGGGCCACAATGAATCTAGGCATAGGAAGAGTGAATCTCTACACTCTTTTCGCTTTCGTTTTTCTAGCCTCGCTCATTGAAAGGTCCGACGCGTCATTAGGAGACCACCTCCCCGACTTCAAAGAATGCGTCCAGGTACGACTCGGCGAACAACAGACCCTTAGAAAACAACTAACAACCACAGGTCTGTAAAACGGAAAATTGTCAGAACGGCAATTCGGTGCTACGTACGTGAAATCATTATTCCAACCGTTCTCTGCGTTTCCCCTTTACTGACCTCTTTAGCTCTGCACCACCGCCTACTACTATGGACCTGCCCTTCTGAATGTGACTACACTTGTCAACATGTCATTACCGACCGTCGAGTTTCGCGTGATCCTCCAATGATCAGCCCAATTGTACAATTTCACGGAAAATGGCCGTTCCGTAGGCTCCT